CATGCGTCTACTCCTGGTGTGCATGCGTCTACTCCTGGTGTGCATGCGTCTACTCCTGGTGTGCATGCGTCTACTCCTGGTGTGCATGCGTCTACTCCTGGTGTGCATGCGTCTACTCCTGGTGTGCATGCGTCTACTCCTGGTGTGCATGCGTCTACTCCTGGTGTGCATGCGTCTACTCCTGGTGTGCATGCGTCTACTCCTGGTGTGCATGCGTCTACTCCTGGTGTGCATGCGTCTACTCCTGGTGTGCATGCGTCTACTCCTGGTGTGCATGCGTCTACTCCTGGTGTGCATGCGTCTACTCCTGGTGTGCATGCGTCTACTCCTGGTGTGCACGAGTGTGTACACATACATCGCACAGAGTCATTGTCCGCGTGTATAGATGACGTCAATGCTGAATTCGATGATCAAAAAATGGTAAGGAATCCATGCTCAATATCCACATAATTCATTTTGTTCTTTACCATACCCGCTCATCAGTATACCTGACACTATGTTGCTGCCAGTATCCAATGGAAAGTTGTCTGATTTGAGAGTTCCTCATGAGTGCTTAGCTGAGCGCTTGTCTAACGGTGTTGTGCGCTGTGCAATGGTGCATGCGTTTGGATGTGCTATGATGGATGTGTGGTGTCTGCATGACTGTATGTTTGGTGCTTGTGTTTTAAGCCTGGCGACTTGGATATGATGCATCCGAGCGAGTGAACAATATTCCACTGGTAAGGTCAGTCATTCAGTGTTGTGTGCCTTTCCAGCGTATGTATTATAGTGATGTGACTTGAAGCCGAGACCAATCATGCAACAACCTGTACAACAAGTATTTCTCCTCGATCCACCTTCAGTCTCTTCCCCATGGCAAGTTATCAGAATGACTGTACATACGAGTGTTATTAGGAGACACTAATTCCTCGCCTCTTTCCGTGTGTGTGTGTGTCTGTCTGTGTGTTGTTGTCTCTCTGCGTGTCTCTGCATGCCTCTGTCTGTGTGTATGTGCATTTCTGCTACCTGGTGGCCATGAGTGTATGTGTATGTTCTGTACAGCGACCACCACGATTCCTTCTACCTGACACATGAATGGTAAGGAATTCACCGCAACGACATACATTCTCTGTATAGGTGATTAGTAATATATGTGGAAGAGAAAAGGACATATGGATACGAGTTAAGAGTAACTCTCCATCACTCCATAACCTTGAACCTTCCAAGTTGGAAGGCTGTCGGTTAGCGCTACGGAGATGTGTTGAAGCTAGGTGTCAGGACGTCGAATGTTTCAGTACTCTGTCAGTTTTGTGCCTAGTTATTGCACTTTCTGACTGTATATAGTATCATGTTACAGTGATGGAGAGTTACTCTTAACTCGTATCCATATGTCCTTTTCTCTTCCACATTTATTTATGGCTCAACATCCGAGTAATATATGTGTGTAAAGTAAAAGTAAAGTTTGCACGTCCGCATAATGTACACTAAAACAAATTCGAACTTAGGAAACTGAATGCAGTTTTGCCAGTCAGATTAGGACCAGCTGACAATTGTGTATGTTGCATGCGACTTCGTGTGTTCGGTGGCTGTACGTATATGCATCCATGGCATGTGTTTGCATAGATACCGGTGTGTGTGTGTGTGTGTATGTCTGTGTGTGTGTCTGTGTGTGTCTGTGTTTGCATGCATGGTTGCTTTGTGTAACTGAATTCCCGAAGTGGATTTCTCACTGGACTGAACAATCATCTCCCCATGTGTGGAAGGTAAGCACAGCTATTCAGAACGCATTCATGTCGGTTCAACCAAGAGTAATCATAACTATGCCATGCAGCGCGCCTCTATTTTCTCCGTTTGTTTGCACTCCACCCTACCTATTAGCTTGGCGAACTGTGTAAGTGGTATCTGACTGAGTCTCAGTCCTGTGTCTTGCTTTCTGTGGAGACGTGCTGGTGTATGCAAATTCTGGTGGCTGTCTCTGTTTGAACGTGGACGTGCACGCATGTATGCCCTCAGGTTGAAGCTGACGGCAATATTCGAAATCAGTAACGGAAATTCGGTAAGGACTACATGTACATGGGTTTTACTGCCGATGCACTACCAATATTCTGTTGCAAGCCTGTTCATAAAATTACGTTGTTATCATACTATGAATGACACATGTAGTTTGTGGCTGCATTTGTCGAATGATTGTGCTCATTGTAGTTCTGTGTGCTTGGTGTCGTCACGGTTTGGTTTGTGTATGTGTGTGTACGGTATGTGTGTGTACGGTATGTGTTGCTTGTCCGTGCTTGTGGTTGTTGCACTCCTGTCCACGTTTGCTTGCATTCACTGCTAACATGGATGCTCCTTTCCAAATGGACGGACACTGGACAATCCTCCATCATCCCTGAGCTAAGGTAAGCATAAACATTCAGTGCCAGGTCCGTTTCAACATGGTGTGGGGGTGGAAGAAAGTTCTATCAATTTTCAGTCAACAAAGCAACCTACTGTTTTACTGCAATAAAGCAACCATTCTCAGTCCACTCAAATGCCCTCCCTGCCCCTCTCACCATAACATGTAACTAAACCATCATTGACTTTGCTTAACCAACTTAAACTTAATAAACCTCAGTTGAAACTTCCTTACTTCTAATTGAAGAGATTCGTTTAATTTAAAACCGTTCATCATGCCAGCCTTAACTAATGGATTTAGCTAAACAATCAGTTGCTGTGGACTGAGAATGGATGCATCTTGCAGACTACAGGTTTGTCGTCGCATGCCTCAAACGTCTAGCTAGCTTCATTGCATAATCGCATGTCTTGATTAGAATTGTGGATTTCTTTGTTTGTGTGTGTCTTTCTCCCATGTACCGGTCATCAACAATATAACATGCCGAGCTTCAATGTACCTCATCCCCCGGCAGCAACTATCGGATTCTAACAAGCCGGGATCTAGCCAACGGCGCAGAATGGTAAGAGCATGTGTTGAAGCAATTGATTCTAAGTTACCTATGTTCACCCGCTTCTGCAATGGTCTAACAGACAACACATGATTGCAATCTTGTCACTAAATACTCATACCCAGCAGGATATCGACAACATGATGTGCACAAAGCCCCAAAGTTCTGGCTGCTCGTACTATTGGATCAATATGTTTGGCCATGTTTGAAGTACAGTGCTGTTCAATGCAACCTAATTGTGTGAGTTTGCGGCCCGCACTACATTGTAGTTCACTTCACAGTGTTAGCAGGTCTAGGACTGCACAGTGCCCGTCGCGTACGCAGTTGACTCGCACAATCGGATTTCATTGAGTAGCCCTGTGCTTGATATTCAAACTCTGTTCATTTCCTTTCTGTTCCATTTATAGTTCACATCTGCTACTCAACTAAACGCGGCTTTCACTGCACTCGGCACCGGCAGGTATATTCCACTCTGGACTCTCGACCCATTCCTAAGCCATGTGTGGCCGGGCTCCATTGGTATTTTGCCATACTTTAATTTTGTCAAGTGTTCATCCCTATTGATCAATCCCCTCTCTCGTGTACCGAGTCCTCTCTCCTGTCCTGTACTGCCCTGTCGTGTGCTCTCCCCCCCCCCCCTCTCCTGTCCTGTACTGTCCTGCCATGTGCTCCCCCTCCCTCTCCTGTCCTGTACTGTCCTGCCATGTGCTCCCCCGCCCCCTCCCCTCTCCCGTCCTGTACTGTCCTGCCATGTGCTCCCCCCCCTCCCCTCTCCCGTCCTGTACTGTCCTGCCATGTGCCCCCCCCCCCCCTCCCCCGTCCTGTACTGTCCTGTCATGTGCCCCCCCCCCTCTACTCCTTTCCTTCTCGGTCCCCTTCTTTCCTCCAGACTGTCCATACTGCTGCTTTTTTAAAATTCTCTTCTCCTATTCTTGTCTATTAATGTTACTGACGATGCACCTCTCTTCATGATTCTTCCACCCACATCTTGCTCTGACTTTCGAACGACTTTCAGCTCCTCCCCCTCTTCACCAGGCTTCAGACCCCCCCTCCCTTCCTCCAGACTTCCCTCTGTCTGCTCCATTCGTCTCCTCCCATTTTTCTACCATGCTATTATTCTTTCATTCACATTTTACTTTTCGAACCATGTCCTGGCAATGTACCTCCCTCCACATTTCACTCCGGCAAATTTATGCACTCTACTTTACATTTCCAATTTTTAAGAGATTCCCATAATTTCGTTCACCCTAAATTGCTTTCTATATGTGTGCCTTCTCTTTGCAAATCAGACCGCAGTTAGGTGAAGTTGTGCTGTAAGACTGCTTTCAGCTAATTACTTATATTCCTGAATACAGTGAGCCGATATTGTTCCATTGTGACCTGCCTTGGAGTATTGATGTTACTGCTCGTCATCTACTGTGTGCCCTATGCTTTGCGTATTTCCATATTATGAGCACTGCAAAGCTGGTGGACTGCTGAATCATGTGTGGGTAATTGTTAGATAGGTACTTGTTCGATGCCTTGTTGCATATAAATGTAAAGGCTTGTTCTATTCATTAAAAAGCACTATTACAATGTATATACATCTAATTTTCTAGTATAATTATTACAGTGCCTTGCATGCATCCGATTGTCCATACCCTCTCTGTACTACATGTACATCAAGTTCAATGCACGGCTTTTCTGGGGGTCATCTCAGATGTGTAGTGGCGGCTAAAATAAAATTTCAACCGTTTGCTTCACATGGTGGCTTTGGACGAGCATGGATGTATGTGCCACTCGGTAACGAGTTAGCCAATGGCAGCAGAAGTTTTATTTCCACGTACAGTCTTGATTGAAAAAAATGTATGCGTTTCACTTGCATGTGCATGGCTTCTATAATAATGCCCAGCTTCCTTCTACAGTGCTGCTCAATGAAATGTGATTGCACACGTCCAGCTGGTGTCGGGCGCTGTAAACACAGTTACACTGGGCTCTCTAAAATGGTGCAGAAAATAAACTTGACATGCATGATCGAATTTCATTGAGCATTGGAGGCTGAGCCAACCCAACTAGTGCATGCGGGCATAGAACACCACTGGATCCACTGTAAATCTTACATGTAGCAAAGGAACACAACAAAGTCAGCTAAGCAACACTCTGATTAACTTATCTATTGTAATATCTCTGCTCAAGGCAATAATAATTCCAAGCCTTTACGTTAAAAATAATAATGTCTCAAGCAGAAGAATAAGAATAAAAACAAACCCTGGATACATTAAAATCCGAGGTGGAATAGTAACAAACGGATCCTGACACGAAGAGAAAACAGGCTAATATCTGCCTCAAGAACACAACGGCTTTTGAAGAGTACCTGTAGCCTAATAAAATACTGGTTCACTCAGTTGACACCGGCATTTCAGTAGCAAAAGCCATGCTTGCCACCAAATAAGTCATACCCCTGCTCAATGAGGAGATCAGTTAAAATATCAATACACATACTTCAAGTAATAACGCTCAGACGCAGCCAGCCAGCTAGCTCTGCTGATAAAATAAGTTGCAGCTTCCTAATTTATACACATTGCAAAGTACGCTTCAATATGAAGACTTATGGGGTGGGGTGTGGGGGTGGTAAAGCACCCTATTGTAATGGGATAAGATGTCAGTCAAAATCAGGACAATGAGCATACGCAGGTCAAGGACCTTGGGAAGTAGAGAGCAACAGTTCTGTTCATGCCACAGGCACGTACTGAGAATGGTCCTGTCCTGGAATGCGCACAAAGCCAGCCTTGGCCATACGCCGCCGTCGGTACACCCGCACAACGCACGGGATGGTCAGGAGTATCAGCAACGCGGACGCTGCCAGCAAGAACGCATACGACGTAGTGCTCAGGAAGGCCTGTGGGCCAAAGTCTACAGGAACAACGCTGGACGCATGGATAACATAGCCGAGTGCCCAGCCTGTGTCGGTGCCATTGATCTGTTTCACACGGAATAAAACACAACACAAAGTACATGGCACAACACACACATGCAATGACAAACTGTCTATACCAATGCCCAATTGTAACACAGAGTTTACCAGGCTGATGTTGCTCTATCAAAAGGAACAAAGCATCACTCATTGGGTACTAAATCCCCCAAAACAATGATTCTGAAGAAATCGCGCTCATCAGAGCCACATTGCATTGTTGTGCCTTACTTGTAGCTATATACAGATACGCTGCACACTGAACTGACTATTTGTACTTGTATGTGGATCGTTGGCAATGCTCCCATAAACCATCCGGTGATACGTATGTACATGCACATGCACACACATGTACACACACATGCACGCACATGCACACACGCACACACGCACGCGCTCACGCAAACACATGCACAAATACATGCACACATGCATGACTGTACAAACAAATGCAAACACATGCATGCCTATACACACGCACACAAACAGAAATTGGCCTTACATCATCACGGACGTCGATCACAGCATCTAGAGAGAAGCCAAAGCCGTCCGTAAGCAGTGACACTGCATACTTGAAAGCAAAGCAGTAACGACTGGCAAACTCTGCTCTTATACTGGGTAGCTGCAGCACCTAGATATACCACACACACAAACACACAAACACACACAACACACACACACACACACACACACACACACACACACACACACACACACACATGCACACACACACACACACTTAAACACACATGCGCGCGCAGACACACACACACACACACACACACACACACCGTGTGGTGCGTCCATGGAGCTATGAAGCCGAGACCTCTGGTCGGCGGAGCTTAATGGGCCCCACCACCACACTCCATCATTCACCCCAGTGTCTGGAGATATGTGGATTTTGTAGAAAAAACAAAAAAAACACACACACACACACACACACACACACACACACACAACACACACACACTTCCTGTTGAGAGGCGACCAATTAATTTCTAAGCTGATGGACTGATAAAACTACCCAAACGTACTGCACTTGATCGAGGACAATCGGAGAATCTCCAAACCTAACCCCCAGCTAGCATGACTCACTGAAATACAGACACTCCACCACTAATCAGCAACCGGGTCCGACACTGATTCACACTTACGGTCGAAGTAGACTTAGATAGAAAGAAGATCAATCCATTGAGAGCTAGGCAACCCATTGAGAGCTAGGCAATCCATTGAGAGCTAGGCAACCCATTGAGAGCTAGGCAACTATAAATCTTAGCACAGGTAGTGAGATACAGTTACCGACTATCACAGAGAAACAGAAAAGGCTCCAGGCTGTCCAATAGAGTGCTCAATCAGAGTCAACGCCCATGTTGCAATGTATCACAGTACGTCCTTACCTCCTCCAGGGTCATCCTACACACCATATCAGTGGCGTTGACAAGTTTTCCCAGTGGCACGGGGCCGGTCACGTTCATTGGCTCAGCCTGGTAAAAGTAGCCGGCAAAGGCCTACGAGTACAGCCAACACATACACAGAACACACGAACACAACACGAACAAACACAGCACATACAAACACAACACACATAAACACAGTGTCTGCTCTAGGATTTCAAACCAAACGGGTACACGTGCACCTGGCGCAACCATTGCAACCGGGTCAGAGCCGGATCCGTTCAAGTGCGGCTAGTGCATGACTTGTACATCAGGGAGTTGTAAATATTTTAGGGCTGTCTGATGTACATGTTCATGTGTATTGTATTCCCAACCGGGTCACAGGTGACCCGGTGTTCTTTTTCCAAACGGGTCCAAGTACTAGTACCCCCCCCCCCCCCAACCGGGTCGCTGACCCGGCTCTGGGGCAGACACTGAAACACAACACACGCACCTACCCACACATACACACGTGCGTACGCATGCACATCAAGCTTATTGGGTGGAAGTGAACCGGTACAGCATGTGTCCACCTGTCCATAGGATGGTTTCGCACTGGGCCGCAGCAAAAAAAAAAAAAAAAAAAAATCACGGTTCGCGTGAGACTCGGCCAAAGGCCCAGTTTTCCGCATCCGCAGGAACGCCACCACCCTCTTGGATCAAGGCGCAGATGCAGCTCCTAAACGGTGGGAGGTGAGTAGATCAGACCCACCACAAAGTGGTCGCAGCAAACAGGAGTTAAAACCCTCGCCATGTTCAAAACTACACGATGAGTGAGCAGAGAGTAGAAATCTTTGGGATGACATGATGACTACACCATAGCTTAGTGGTAGGCCATCGCTGGCCATAAGCGAGGGTCCCTGGTTCGCGTAGGTACTGGTGGTGACAGTCAATATTTTTTCCAGACTTTTCCCGTTTTCAACTCCCTCAAACTTATGAATAAGAGCACAAGTGCTTCACAGTACAAGCAGACTAGCCAGGACATCATGATTCATTCCACAACATAATCATCATCATCAGTAGCAGTATTACAACCCAGACTGAGACAAGGATGTTACCGGTATGTATAATTCTATTCACAAAAGCCAACAACGAGGAAGTCACTTCAAGGACTCGGAAGACAGAACAACAAGGAAAGGGCAAGGAAGCACAGGTTGGCCTGTGTGCATGCAGAGTCCTAGTGACGTCTTAGTGACGTCAACACAAGACATGTACATGGATATCACATCCCTCCAACCCTAGATGAAACAAAGACTAAGTAAACAATAACAAATAACAAATCACCTGTAAAAACAGTAACACAAAACATGGCGAAATATAGCTGTAAACACAGAAATAAGACAGCAGATCTAACTGTGAGTAGCTATGATAGAACTGTTACAAGTCCAAACGGATGGGCGCCTGAACAGCTCTAGTTGAGCGACGCGGATGAATAGCAGCAGTCGACCCAGCTGACTGCGACTCTGAAAGTGTGACTGATTCCTGTGCTGGAGGAACTGGTGAGGCAGATACGGCCGTTGGTACAGAATCAACTGAAGGCTGTAGTTCGGATGCGTCTGAATCCGGCACAGATGATGTCGACACTGGATGGCTCAGAGGTTGACCAGATGGAACGACAGCTGGATATGCGGTTGTTGCCTGTTCTGGCGCAGCAACAGGTGGCTCCTCGGCCGGCAATCGCGGGCGGATGTGGTCACTGTGCCGTTTCCACAATCTGCCATCGGGTAGGCGCACCGTAAATGTGGCTGGGCCTAGACACTCTTCAAGAACTCCATCCATCCATTTAGGTGAGCCCGCAAAGTTGACACAGGACACAGGGTCGCCACAGCAGAAGGACGACGAGTGAGCCGGGCGGCGGTCTACGGCTGCTTGCTGTCGGCTGAAAACCTTCTTAGAAGTGTCCGGAAATGTGAGGTCAAGACGGGACCGAGGCTTATGGCCCATCATGAGTTGGAATGGAGATTGACCAGTAGTTGATTGTGGTGTAAGGCGATACTGAAACAGGAACCGATACAGACGGGATTCCAAATCAGAATCACCAACAGACTTCTTCAGCGCATTCTTGACGGTTTGTACGGCACGCTCAGCTAGACCGTTGCTGGCTGGGTGGTACGGAGATGACCGGGTATGCTTGATACCATTAGCAGAACAGAATCGTTGAAATTCGTCGCTGGTGAATACTGAGCCATTGTCGGAAACAAGTTGAAGCGGCAGTCCGTGCGTTGCAAATGTCTGACGGAGCTTGGCAATAGTTGAAGCCGAGGTTGCAGACGATACCGGGTGGACTTCAATAAACTTACTGAAACTGTCAACGATAACCAGGAGCATCTTGCCTTCAACTGGACCTGCGTAGTCGACATGCAGACGCACCCATGGTTTACCTGGCCATTCCCAGGGATGTAGCGGCTGAAGGGCTGGTGACTTCTGAATGGCTTGGCACGGTTGGCAGCTCTTGACCTTGAGCTCTATCTCGTCGTCAATAGATGGCCACCAGATGTAGCTGCGGGTGAGGGCTTTCATCCGGGTTATGCCCGGGTGACCTTCATGTAATTCTTCCAGGAGCGTCTCACGGCCTCTTGGTGGAATAATAACACGTGAGCCCAGCAAAAGACAGCCACTTATTACTGAAAGCTCATTACGACGACGGGAATACGCTTGATAATCCACGGGGATGTTGTCCGGCCAACCTTCTTGGACGTACTTGAGGACAAGTGACAGCACCGGATCTTTGCTCGTCCATTGAGCAATGGTGGTGGATGTGACCGGAGTGTTCTCCAGGACAGACATCGACAGAACAATTTCGGCTGGTGTTGGGACTTCTGGTACCGATGAGGGTGATGGTAGCCGACTGAGTCCATCAGCATTACCATTGTTGCTGCCCGACTTGAACTGAAGCTGGTAGTCGTAGCTTGCTAGTAGTAGGGCCCAGCGTTGGATGCGACCACTGGCCATCGGCGGAATCGGACGATCTTCCTGAAATAGACCAAGTAGAGGCTTGTGGTCAGTCTGCAGCACAAAGGAGCGGCCAAATAAATACTTATGAAAGCGCTTGACGGCGAACACCATAGCCAGGCCTTCTTTCTCGATCTGTGCATATTTCTGTTCCGCTGAGGACAATGTTCTCGATGCAAACACGACTGGATGCTCGTCTCCGTCCGCAGTGATGTGTGAGAGAACGGCACCAATACCATACGGTGACGCATCACAACTGACGACAATTGGCATCTTCGGGTCGTAATGTACACGGCATGGTGCTTCTAGTAGCATGGCTTTGCTTTTCTCAAAAGCAGACTGTTCACAGTCAGACCACCGCCACTGCTTCTTAGAGAGCAATTCGTACAGGGGTTTCAACACAGTACTTAAGTTCCGTACAAACTTGTGATAATAGTTAATCAAACCCAAGTAGCTTCTGAGCTGCGATACGTTAGTCGGTGCCTTGGCGTCCAGCACATCTTGCACTTTCTCAGCTGTCGGCGTTATTCCGGTTGAATCAATGATGTGGCCGAGGAAAGTGACAGATGAACGGCCAAACACACACTTGTCCCGGTTCAAGCGCAGACCAGCCGATTCAAGACGCTCCAAGACCATTTTGACATGGAGGTCGTGTTCCTCTCGTGTTGCGCCAGATATGAGGATGTCGTCCAGGTACACTACGACCATTGGAATGTCGGCCAACAGCTGCTCCATGGTGCGCTGAAAGATACCAGGTGCAGAGGACACTCCAAAAGGCAAGCGATTATACACAAATAGGCCTTTGCTTGTGTTGATAGCCGTGAGAAGCTGAGACTGTTCGTCTAACGGTAGCTGCTGATAGGCCTGGCTGAGATCTAACTTCGTGAAGCAGCATCCTTTATTCAGTTTCACATATAAGTCTTCTATGTTGGGTAACGGATACTTGTCTGTCTTGGATGCTTGATTAATGGTACACTTGTAGTCGCCACAGATGCGTATCTGGCCATTGTTCTTTAGCACTGGCACAATCGGTGCAGCCCAATCGGTACTCTGCACGGGGTGAATAATGTTCTCTTTCACCAGCCGGTCCAGCTCCTTCTCCACTGCCGACTTGAGTGAATAGGGAACCGACCGTGCCTTCAGAAATCGTGGCCTCACGTTACGGTCCACTGCCAGCTTGACACTGCCATGTCGCCAAGTGCCCAGGCCAGACTTGAATAGTTCCGGATGCTTGTCCAGGATATTCTTCGGCATGTCACCAGTGACGTTGAAAACTTGGTTCCAGTTGAGCCTCAGTTTCTCCAATGCGTCCCGACCTAGCAGATTGGGTCCAGTGCCTTTGACCACATAATAGACCAGCTCAGCCTTGCGTCCTCCGTGGCTGGTTTCGCTTCTCACGCGGCCTACCGTTGGGATGATCTTGCCGGCATACGTACGTAGACTGGGTAAGTCGTCAGTTTCCAGCGTCAACTGTTCCTTGGAAGCCAAATCATGGTAATGCCGTTCGTTAATCACAGTAACTGCAGCCCCGGTGTCGATCTCGAATACCATTGGGGTGCGGCCGATGCGAACAGTGCAGACATACGGGTCGACAGTACTGCTTACATGGCTGATACACACGGTGTGGTGCAGTTCCGGACAATACTCCTCACTGTTTACTGCCGAGTCTGATTCCCCCGCGTCCGGCGCTGGATTGTGCACAAAGTGTACCTTGTCCTTGGCTCTGCACACAGATGCGAAATGGCCCTGCTTGTGGCAGAAATTACACGACTTTCCCCAGGCAGGGCAGCTCTCTCGTCTCTCGTGCCATTGTCCGCCGCAGCCAGTGCACTTGCGGCCAGCTTTGGGAGGCCTGTCGTTGTACGAACGCGACTTCAGCGATGATGGCGCGGACCGAAGACTGTGGACGTCTGTAGTCCTTGAGGCCGATGTCAGCTCTGCAGCCCGCGCATCAGCGAGTTCCTCCGAAGTTGCCGTGGCTAAGAAATCAGCAAATTTCTTGTCGTTCGCCATAGTCAGCAGTTTCTTCGTGATGGATTGGCCTCGTAGCCCTTGCACGAACTGGTCCTTCAGTGCGCGATCCAAGTGGGAGTCGAATTCGCAAGTGGACGCCAGTCTCTTCAGGCGATTTGCAAATTCCGTGACAGATTCCGTTCCTTGCCGGCACTGATGGAAACGATAGCTTTCCGCCACTAAACTCAGCTTCGGTTGGAAGTGTTTCTTGAGGAGATCGGCTATCTCATCGAACGTTTTAGACGTTGGCTTGTCAGGAAAGCACAAGTCTTTCAGCGTCGAGTAGGTAGCTTTACCCATCAGCGCAATCAGGGCAGCCGTTTTGACCTTTCCTGCAGCAGTGACGTCGTCTGCATCGGTGGTAGCTGCCACTCCGATTCTATTTGCGGCAAAATAACACTCGAGACGATCCAAATAATCGGAGAAGTTCTGGCCGTCAAATGGCTCCATCTGGCAGAAACTGGAGGCCATGGCCATCGTCTAATACTTTTATCTTCGTCGCCAATTATTACAACCCAGACTGAGACAAGGATGTTACCGGTATGTATAATTCTATTCACAAAAGCCAACAACGAGGAAGTCACTTCAAGGACTCGGAAGACAGAACAACAAGGAAAGGGCAAGGAAGCACAGGTTGGCCTGTGTGCATGCAGAGTCCTAGTGACGTCTTAGTGACGTCAACACAAGACATGTACATGGATATCACAAGCAGTTACTAGTACACATGAATACACCAGCTTACAATGAAGTCGTTGTCAGCCAGGCTTGGCTGATACGCCCCGTTAAAAGAACAGGATGGGTAGGTGCACTCGGTGTTGTCAAACATCTGGTCAACCAGTCGACGGCACTCACTGCTGTTTCCGGTTCCTAGCAGCTGGAAGTTAGCGTCCTCTGCAGCACCGAGCATGTTCACCCTGTCATAGGCACTCTTAGCCAATCTGCTTAGGTCTGGTTTGTGTAGGATATCACCCCATGCTGTGATGGCTTCATGGCCGCTGCTACATGGTGGTAGCCAGAGAAATTCACCGGTCACGTTCACCACATCACCGCGCAGACCACACGGATCCTCTACCACCGAGCTGTAGTTAGCCACCTGCCAGATGAATGGAAGGGAGTGTGTGTATACACCCATGCATGCATCCATGTATGCACGCGCACACACACACACACACACACACACACACACACACACACACACGCACACACGCACACACGCACACACACACACACACATGCGCACGCACACACACACACACAAACCTATCGCAAAAGGAGACTAGCTAATGATTGATATAAAACTCATTTTCAACACCCACAACTAAAGAATAACTATAAACTGGTGACACTTGCTGAGGGGACAATATACTGAACTCTACAATGCTGGCCAAACCAAGAGGACACAGACAAAAATTAGTCACATACACACACTGTACATGTACAACTAGTCCGGGGGGGGGGGGGGGGGGCCTTGATCACGTGAGACTAAGAGCTCTCTAAAGATCAATGGGTACTTGTGCGTGCACATTCTGCACCAGCCAGGATAACCAGAACCAGTCATGGGCTGTTTTGATAGGATCGATCACGGCATTGATGTACACAACCACCCATTCCTACATCATTATGTCACAGGCCTATGTCAACAACACAGTTATAATAAGTGGTAGTACCCAGCTCACAAACACACATGCCCACAACTGTACATGCCCACAACACCTAAGTTGCAATGATCAGCTGCACTTTGGAACTGAAAACATCTACATTGTGAATTCTGCTTCCTGAAGCTAAAGTTTGTGTGAAGAAAGAATAAGCCTTCCTTTCTCACTCTCACCTGCACAAGATTGCCCTGGTAGCGACGCCGTGCCTCGTTCAGACCATAGCAAAGAAAGCTGTGAGAGTAGGCCACGTAGCTACGGTCGTACGCTGTTACGTTGGAATAGAACAGCGAGGAATTCTCAAACTCTCCATTGCTGCCGTTATAGGGAACAAACGAGATCTGAGTTGATGCACCTCCCAGGTCCAGGGCGCCAGCAGTTCTCACCGGCTCGGGATTCTAAGAAAGCACAGGCACGAGCAATGAAAAAGCATGCCGAACAGAGAAAGGGAATATGTGAGTGGAGGGGGATGGGGGGGGGGGGCAGAAGTCTGGCCACGACCGCAGAAAATAGCACGGGGTGCATCCAGAGCCAGGTTGAGGGAAAAAAGACTTGGGAAAGTGTTTAAAAAGGGTACAGAGTGACCTGGTAGAAAGTCACACGCTTCAGAAAGTAGATGGAGTAGAGACATACACGCATGCGAATGCAACCCAACCCAGGCACACACGTGCAAAATCAACCGATCATAATCTGTTCAACTCTCAGCCAAATTCAACAAAGTGTCTCGAGGACACCATACACCAGTGGTTTTTCCCTGCTCTGACAAGTTGAGCCGCACCGAGCATTACTGCCTCCTCGCATGGGCAAGTGAAATTCTAAATGTCTAACACAATGACGAAGGTCACCGTGGATCTGGTGCCAAGAAAACCCTACCTACACCCCTTAGAGGCCATAACAAAACAAAAAGTCATTGTCCAGCAAAACATCACTGAACAAATTTACGGTTCGCGTCAGACTCGTCTGGAGGCCGAGTTTTCCGCATCCGTAGGAACACCGCCACCACCCTCTATGGATCAAGGCGCTGATCCTTCACTGACTTCACTGAGTGCATCACTGAGTGAAAAGAGTAGTTCTAGTGAACAGTGTGCTGTGCATACCTTATCTGGATCAATTAGTCCCAGGAGGTAATTGACAGTGATCCAGCCAAAGAGACCTTCTTCCACGCCAGTGATGATCCGTGCATGCTTTTCATCGGTGTCATCCTGCTGAAAAGGGTAGGCGTCGAACAAGTCCAAAATTGCATCCAAGATTGCATCAGCCTGGGTGGCATTTTTCTCCCTAGAAACACACATTCGAGTACACAAACGGCACGCCTGTATCTTTCACCAGCCAGACATAATCCGAAACACCAAGAAATGCTTGGAAGCAATACAGTTTCGGCCTAACACCTCCCTCCCGCTCCCTCAGAACGTAAAACAAATGTTGACATATACATGCATAGATGGACTCAGATGGAGAGCCAAGGATTAATTTATAGCAAAGAAAAGGACATAATATATGTCCTATGTTATTATAAGAGAAAATGACCTCATGATAAGTTATGAGTTATGACTAACAATCCACCAAGGTAACGAGATAATTATACAGTCAGGTTGTGCGACAACAACCCAATATTGCTCGCGAACTGCTCGTAGCCGGCACCAAGGTACCGCCAGTCTTGCTTGCTGATCCAGCATACTCGCTTATGCCATGTGTCCTCAATGAGTGCTCTACCGAGGCAACGGACCCGGAGATTGGCTTCAACAACAAGCTGAGAAGTGCCAGGAATCAAGTTGAGTGCGCCTTCGGTAGGCTGAAGGCGAGGTGGAGAATCCTGAACCGCACCATTGAGTGTGAGGAGCCTGAAACTAACTTCTTGTTTTCTTCAGTATGATTTAATTTCTGTCTCCAAGAAAACTAGCAACTGGGTTTCAGGGTTTGTTTGAATTTTTGAAAAAGATTCCCAAAGGCCAATGCCTAGCAGGGATCTCCTAAATGAAAGCAGCAAAAAAACCATCCATAGATGTTACAAACGGCTACTACAAACTTGTGGTGATCCCCGGGTCTAACCCTGACATACTGTAACAATCTCATCCCGGCTGTGGCAGCTAGGTACAGCGGTGTCAAGTGATGATGAGTTGATGGCACTATTTCTATTGCCTCGTTCAAGCATCCAACTAGAGACTGCGCAGCATCTGCCGGTATTGCATATTCAGATATGCCACGAGCTGCTACATAAGTAAACCACATACACACACGCACATGCACATACACACACACACACACACACACACACACACACACACACACACACACACACAAGCAAGCACACGGATCAGACAACATACAAGGCCCATAGTGACAAAAATGAGGTCATAGGTGTAAACAAATATGTCACAGGGACCATTGCAATATAGAAAAGATCATCTAGTAATATTGTGTGTGTGTGTTCTGCGAACCTAGGGAAGTTAACATATGCCAGATTTTGAAGTACATGAACGCACATGGGTGGCATCATGATGACGATCATCTGGCAACCACGGCTGGAGAAGTGCAAGTGAGTGTGAGTAGGGTGTGCAGACGGGAAAAGAGAGAGAAATCACAAGTATATGTGCATGGTAAAGGGACTTACAAGAATTGCTGCAACTCTCGCCAACTTGGCTGATGACACCAGATCCCTTCAACAACCTTGTATTCCTATCCCACGTGAACACACTCAGCCGTGAGCCACTGGAGCCGGCATCAATTAGAATAGCGTACTGCATGCAAATGAAAAACAAACAAATATAACTAGTCAGGCCCAGCGGAACCAATCCGGTTGGTCACGCCCTGGCCGGACCAACCTATTGGCCCGGCACCGTGTGTTTATTGCTGACGACGTCATGTGTATACTGTAAGACCAGCTATTTTAACGTCAGTTAAAGTTTATAGCGATCCCCGGATTTGTGTTCATTCGCGAAGTGAAATGCTCACGAAATCTGTCCGCTAAAACCGGCAGATGATCGCACATGTAGATACCGTTTTGCACATAACGACTTCAATTTTTAAAGATTTTTCAATTCGTTCTGTTAGAATTAAATGTTCGCTAATGTTAGTGATCTTACAGTACCCTCAGATCATACACAAAGTATGAAAGGCTAGGGTTAGGCCGGACCCATCGAAAACTGCTCCCGCCGGTCCTGTTAGTCCACGCACCACCTAGCCCCATGCATGCATACAGTATTCATTCAGACAGATTTCCTTTGCTCTAACAACTTTAGATGGGAAGACGTGAGGCAGGGGTGCGCTAAAACGGATATTGGCAAGACAAACAGGCGACGCATGGCACCGGCAAGACAAACATACAGATAGCACCTACAGCTGACCTGTTGTGTTCCATAATCTTGTATGTCGCTATTCCTGCGTTCCCGCAGGACAGGCACAGTGACCAGGGTAGCAAGAGAGATGACTACCGATATGGTGATGATAGCCACCCACACCTTTTCGTTTGCCATCGTGTTGAAATCAGCTCTAGTGTACATAGAGAACAGCATGACGATGTAAGACAACAATGGTGACAATGGTGAAAATGAATTATGATCGGTATGGCAAGATTCAAGATTTTTCACTGCCAATATGACCCGGTCTTCCACACAGAAAAACTATAATGTATCTCCTGTCCACTTGAAGAGTGTGGAACTTTGCATATGCGGTGCGTGACGGGCGGAGCCGCACCACATGGTGAAGAACGGTTTAGACTACTTGTGGTGCAGTAAAATCATGTTTCATTGTGCCGCAGTGAAAACTTCACAACAGGTATGTGTATAATGCACCTCCAAGGTCCACAAGGACCTGTATGTTATAGCGGATGTGACTCTGAATCCGATGTCGAATAACTGGAGCAGTATACGAAGGGTCCTCAAAAATAGTTTCACATCCCCGCATAGAATACTTATTATTATTATTATTATTCTCGTATCCGTCCCGAATGGGACTCACGACGGCAGAATTAACCGTGAGCATGTGTGTGTGAGAGTGGGAGAACGAAATGAAAAAGAAAAGAAGTCTTGTAATAAGGTCAAATTTAAGAAGAGCAGTACTAGACTAAATGGCTGAGCAGATGTTACTCCATTGTTTTCTGTCGCGGGCATAGGTGCCGAGATCACGAAGGCAGCTGGGCTTAAAAATGCAGATAGGTGTGAGGCGGACGTCTCGCTGGAGACTTGTGGTGAGGCAAGAGCGGGGTGCACCTATTCGAAAGGGCTGACTGGTAGCATATGTACAGAAAGCAGTGAGAGCAACATTCGCAGGGATGTCACTTGGCTGGCGTAATATATGTCCTAATAGCTTCCACCTGTCCCGCTTGGCCATTTCAGATACAGAGCACTGGCCAGTAACAGCATATAAATCTGCATTCGAGATGACATCTGGGTAGGTAATTCCAAGGGTACACCGCAGCTGTTTCCTATGAAACACATCTAGGCGCTTTTCTTGTGCACGGGACAGGCCATGGCAAGCAAGGTTGTAGGTCAAGATTGGTAGAACGAAAGTGTTGTATAAACGAATTTTGATGGGTGTAGAAAGCAGGTTGTGTTTGAACCATAACTTCAGAGTGTCTCCAAATGCTCTTGCGGCCAAGCCAATACGGCGCGTTACGTCCTCCCCGGAGCCGTATAGCGAGCCGAGTGTCTTCACCTGTCGCCAAGCTTCTTTACCACGAGTTGTGCCGACCTTTCTAGATGTTGTAGAGGTGGCATCTCCCAAAGTGGGTTCCAGGTAAATACGGATCCACTCAGTCTTACTGGTATTGACGGTAAGACCCCATTCGGAGAAGACGCCTGCGATGACGGGTAGGGCGCTGGTAAGGAATGATTTTGATGTGGAGATGAAGTCTACGTCATCGGCGTAAGCTGTTTCTTCAGGTAGAATGTTGTCTGCTGATGGTCGGGCTGGCAGTCGGTCACGTACCATTCGTAGGGCTGCTTCCAAATAAACCGTGAACAGTACCGGTGACAAACCATCGCCCTGGGGGACCCCCCGAGCTGTCTCAAAAGGTGCGGACTGTGCTTCGTTCACGCGAACTGTCAGCGCCGTGCCAGATAGCAGGTACCTAACCAGTCGTAAACCGTCCGCGTCTCCAATTTTCTCTTGCTCCATGACATCAAGCAGCTTTGTGCGGTTTATTGTGTCAAAAGCCTTGCTCAGGTCCAGCCCTAGCACGTAGATGGTAGCGTTGAAGCGTTCAACAATTGATGCCAGGATCCGTTTGCAAAACACAATGTCTGCGGTTGATCTGTTTTGACGGAACCCGGCTTGCGATGGAGATATATATCGCTCTACGTCAGCTCTGATCCGGCTAAGTGTGATGAGGGACAAGATTTTTCTGGCAGTAGTCAGCAATGTTATCGGACGCAAATTGTTCATGGGGCCTTTGGGTTTACCTGGCTTATGCAGAGCGATTAGTACACCATCTCCAAGGGACGCTTGGCTGTGCTGAGTGAATACATCGTTGAAAATGCTGCTCAGGCATTCTGCAAGTGCAGGGCCTCCGTATTTGACCAGCTCGGCCGGTATGCTATACATAGGATACTATATACTGAACTACATCTACCTGATGTAGTCGCCAAACAAATCCGGCCAATGCCAATACCATTGATACAGTGGTATGGTACGCATTGACGGCGGTGCTTCATGGTGGCATGGTAGCATCCATCATGCATTTACTGTACCAGCACTGCACAGACTGTATGCAGGGACATACTAGTAGTCATTGCATATGCAGTGTACTACTACTAGTGTAGTAGTGGCAGTACATGACATCAAGAGTATATCCCCCGGGGGTTATATACTCTTGATGTCATGCCATGTACCATACAGGAAGGATAGCATTGGCCGGATGTTTTTGGCGACGACTGTACATGCATTTCACTGCATATGGGCATAGTATGATACAACAGAGTTCACGAAACGCAATCCAAATTCGCCCGGCACACACGTTTCCGCATTTCAGTGGGCACTGACACTGCACTGACGCTGAATACGGATTTGCTGCATTCCGATGGTGTCGGATTTCACTTGCATAGCACTAGCATTGTTTATATCAGTGTTCGGACCAGGGAATAGTAGAGCACCGTATTGTACTACTCACTGGTTTGGACCGGCATCTGAGATTAAATATTAATTCAATTCAACAAACATGTACACAGTCTTGTACATGTGTAATCATCATGGCTGTGTCAAACACACGTGCAATACAAAATCAATAAGATCTGGACAAGAATCCCGCATGACCCTGGCTTAATCCTTATGACTGTTTCATGGACTCTCGACGAAGTAACAACCTTCCCAAGCCGGATATCACTTACATTTTAACAACAACTTCCAGAGATCAAGAGACTGATGGGAGTAGCACTAGTCTACGAGTCCATACTACGTAGCGATCGTTTTGCACCTGTCATTTCAAAGGAAATAGGCGGGGATCAGGAAGAGGAACTGGGTTTCGTTTAGAACAAGACGTAGTAGGTCTACAGTACTGTTTGATTTCGATCGGGTCTGCGATGCATCGTAGAATAGTAAGCCACGCAACAGCTAACCTAGCCTTCGCCAGAGCGAACGACGCGTGGCTATTCTTGTCTCTTCTTGAACTAAAATCCCCGCGTTTACTTTCTTTTTAGACTTTTATTTCAGTGACCGGTGAATATGTTCTCCGACAAAATTGACGTCATCGAACAACCAGAGTATCGCATTTTTTGAACATTTTCCAGGCTCTACTTGTGTGTGTGTGTGTGTGTGTGTGTGTGTGTGTGTGTGTGTGTGTGTGTGTGTGTGTGTGTGTGTGTAATTGTACATGTAGTTCAAGTAGTTGTAGATGAGATGATCTCTAGCATGCAATACTACGGTATTACAAAAAAACTTGTACATGTAGTACCATTATCAAGGCCAGGGAGTCTCCCTACCAGTTATTGTATTGACTACTGTTCACCTTTTTCATGGTGCCGTAACCCTGCCTCAGTCACGGCCAGGCAGAAAAAAATTGTCAGTAGTGTGTGTGCGTGCTCTCTCTCTCACGCACACACACACACACACACACACACACACACACACACACACACACACACACACTCACCATTGGACGCCCATCGCCGGAGGCGATGATAGCGATGCTACAGCAGAAGCCATAGCAGCTTGTGCTGGGATTGCACCATTCAACAGCTTGCAAGGCTGAAGAATTGACCGCCACTATTCAGCCTGGTCTACTCACACACGGACATCACATTATGACATAACACACTGTGTTTCCTGTATACTTTTCATGGGACAACAGAACTGTACCCTCTTGGTGAGTTTAGGTTCATCATAATCCTCCCTCCAAGAGCTTTCCAACAAGCCTGCGGCTGTCAAAGCCAGTCAGATGGGACCAAAGCCATGGCAGAATATAGAACAAAAACATCCACATATGCATCTGCACAATATTCAACCGGGTGTTTATTTGTAGTTTAGACGATGTTTCTTGTCCGATTACCCGTTAGGTGTAGATCTAAATGACAACCAGTGCACAGACTGACCTACGTCTATATGTGCTTTCTGCACGAGTTCTGCTTCCACAGTGGAACCTTAGAAGTCCGACCACCTACCGGACTGAACTAAAAGTATCCCATTTCCACAGTGGTGACTGGTCTGAGGTGGTCGTAGAACGAGGTTCGACTGCACCCAGTCCGACAGGACTACAAATACATTGCACTCAAGTAGGTAGCACAGCCTACTGTAACTGCCCTTAACTAGACACACACCATCACTATACCACAAGGAGAAAATGCTCATAAATATTGTAATTGGTAGTCAGAGCAAGGTCAATGACGACTACTAACACCTAAAATAAACAACGCACAGCAGTAATGAACAGCAAAGCAAGCACTGCGATGTGGCAGTGCATAGCATTCAAGGTCAGCTAAGACACAGAAAAGAAAAGACAAACTAGACAAACAATATCTCCTCTACAAACAGTCCATCTAAAAAGTAATATAAAAATACTATAAAGGAGACCAAAGCCAGCCAGCAGGCCAAGTAATGGCTGCCTAACAACAAAAACAACAACAACAACAACAACAACAACGGCTATCGTGAGAATAAAGATTTGAACAACAACAACATTCAAAAATATCACAGCAAGCATAGAGGAGTAACATAATGGCTCTGATAAAACAAGATTCGAGTTCGTGCAGGCAAAGACCCTGGTCCAGAAGCACAATGTACTAGGCCTTGAAAACTCACAGAGGTTATGGGAGGTTTGATAACACAGTTGCATGTCATAACTGCAGCCACAACAAAAAGAGACACACAGATATGAGAGAGAGAGAGAGAGAGAGAGATCAAAGACAAACACCAAGAACACTAAGCACAGGTATAATTATACCACATAACTACTTACATAAGATATACACATAACACGGGCCTACTTCCCACCGAATACGTTAACAGAAATTGGATAGACTGGCTGTCGGTTGATTTGTCTCTCGAAAAATAAAGTTGTACAGAGTCTATCAATTTCTTACTACATAGACAATTGCAACTTACCAATATAGAATCAAAGCTATTTACTCTTCCTCATCATCGCTGGATTTCCTGCCAGCTTGCCGCTTCTCTCTCATTCGCTTTACCATCTCAAACTCATTATAGTGCTGCTTTCTCTTGGCCGTGAAGGCTTTCTTTTTAGCTGCAAAGAGAGAAAGAACGGGGAGAGAGAAAGACAAAGCAGGAGAGAGAGAGAGAGAGAGAGAGAGAGAGAGAGAGAGAGAGAGAGAGAGAGAGAGTCAAAGCCCAAACAAGCCGCACTGGGGTTGTATTGCTGAGCCATGCCCCCCCCCCCCCCCTCATCCCCGAAATCAGACCTGGATTACCGTAAGTAAGTTCCCATGCATACGGTACAAATGGATCCTGATGCTCTTTATCGTAATGCACACTCAATTTTTTACTCAATTTCAGGGCAGCTAACCCATTCGAAATCTTTACGTCTCATCAGCAGATCTCTGGGTGACTGACCGAACTGAATGGAATAGAGTTTGGGCAAGCACCACATGTTCCCTTTTCCAGAATACTTCTACAACCATGGAAAAAACCCATCTTCCACAAGAAGTCGATGTGTACATGTACCTTTAGCTTCCGGTGTGAGGTCATCGTCTTCGTCTTCGTCGTCCTCAGTACTCTTCTGTCTGGATTCCCAAGTGCCGTCTTCTTCCTTTGCCCGTGCTTCCACAAGTCTAGTGATGCAAGAGCGGCAACAGAAAAGACAAGGCAATCTTACCATGCTGTAATAAGTTTACACATTTCCCTGCAACACGCCTACACTAATGTCCGCAGAGTAAGTGCCCCATTCATACCCAAGGTTTAATAGCCCATTCATCTCCTAACTACCGTAAAAGTCCGTAAATAAGTACCTGCCCGAAAGGAATACCCCCTTCATTCTTTTGGCTCTGTCTGCTGAAGTCAAGTCAAGCCCGATAAACATACTACCCGAAGTAAGTACCGGTACGGTGCGCACATGCAGCATGTAGCATGTACATCTACATAAAAAATGTCCTTTCCACTACACACAAGTCAGGCCCGAAAGTTAGTTCATGCCCGAAAGTCAGTACCCGCCCGAAAGTTAGTACGGGTGTGGTCACTAAATTCGAAAGTAAATACGTACTTATTTACGGTATGATTACATGAATGTATACCCATGCACAAAAGAAAACATGCTTGAATATTACCTAGTAATGCCTTCATGTTTTCTTACTTTTCGAGTGCAGCACCATCGAGTGGTTCCTCCACAGGATTGCCACTTCCACCAGCTTCCATGTCCTCATCTTCATATTCACGATTGTAGGGCGTGGGAGGCTCATCTATTTTCATATGGCCATAATCTTTGTCCGGCGGGTGCTCCGTCATGAGGATATTCATCTCATCCCATTGCAGGGGCTTGGAACTCCTGAAGGCCGGAAGAAGCAATGGCACAGGTTCCAGATTGGAATGGAAATGCAAAAGAAATCAACTGCATGCCGAACCGTTACCGTTGATGCCCCCCCCCCCCCCCACACACACATACACTGTGTTGCTAACTTGCTTGACACCTGTTTTTATAGCAGTGGTGGGAATTAGATCAAGACTATGCAGTGCAGTATAATTAATAACGCGATCAAGAGCATGCAAAAGGTTGAATTTGCTGTGCTGAATCATGCACAGTTCCATCATCCACCTGAACACATGCATGCACTCCCACACTGTACTGGCATGTATTTGGAGGATAACAGCAGGTAACAAGGCGGAGGACACACTGCGTCGAGAACTGACAGTGTTCCCGACTACAACCATAATCCATGTATCGTGTACAGCAGTGCACGCACCTTATTGTGATGAATACACTACGGTAACTAGCTTCATACATGTAGGTGGAAAGCCGGCAGGTGTGATCAATGCCATACTGTAAGACCAGTAATGTTAACGAACATTTAATTCTAACAAGTTAACGAAATTGAAAGAATCGTTAACATTTGATGTCGTTAGGGGCCGTCCGTAAATATCGAACTTTTTTCACCAAACGAATTATTTTAGTTTAGATCCAACCCCTCCCTCCCTCCCCCTCGGAACGTAAAAATTGCTGACATATACATGCATATACAACAAAAGTCGCAAGTGTGTCACTGCTCCTATGGCCATGTACATGTATCGAAGTTTTCTGAAACGAATTTGGTCAACCCCCTCCCACCCCATAACGAAATTATTTCGTTTCGTGAAAAAAGTTCGATAATTACGGACGACCCCTTATGTGCAAAAGGATATGTACATGATTGTACAGTCATTAGCCGGTTTTGAGAGAGAATTCGTTAGAATTTCGCCTTGCTAACCCACAAAAATCCGGAGATCGTTAACTTTAATTGATGTTATATATATCTGGTCTTACAGTACCACCAAGAGTACATAATCCCCCAGAGTGTGCAACTCCACTATGGGTGCTGTCCCGACAGAATTTCAAGTTGACGTCATTTTGATGATGCAATGCGCACTGTACACGGATTATCAGACGAATCCGGAACCTGTGGTTGACCGAAGCCGATCGATCCTGTACAAATTATTGCAAAGAAAAACGTGTGATGCGTTGACACCCGTACACATGTTGTAAATCACTGCTGCAAGGAGCATTGCGTCATAAATAATGACGTCAACTTGAAATTCTGTCGGGACAACAGGGTATGTGGGAGTTGCACACTCTGGGGGGTTATGTACTCTTGGTACCACTAGTCCCATGTGGATTCATTTCCTTCAATTTTCAGTGATTCTCCATGCTCTTTAGTTTTAGATTCAGAGCATTACTCCACCAACCCCGAGCCATACTCTGAAGGCGTGTACTGGTGAAGGCCCAACAAAATCACGCATTGTACACACAAGTCGCTGGTCAGCGCATGGCTACTTCCTGCAATATTTCTGGACAGTACTTCCTGTACTTCCTGTCACATTCGTGTGGCTCCTCATACGAAGGAGAACTGGTTGTCTCAATGATACAGTGCTCATGTCAGTACATGTACATGTAATGATGTACATGTACTGACACAGTGCTACATGCCAGTACAGTCATGTACATGTAATGATGTACAATGTATATTAGTAATACCATAATAAGATTGTCCAAAGCTCAATCATGAACTTCCAGTGGAAATTGGATGTTCGTAAACTGCATAATTATGTTCGTGATCAACAGAGCATAGTACGTTAGTGTATCGATAAACACCAAGTCCAAAATTACCTCCTTGAGGTCTTCAGGATGCTCTTAGCTGGCTTGGCGCTGGGATCAAAGGGCAACGTCGCACCGCTTGCAGAAGCACTAGCAGCATCACTCTCACTGGCGCCTGCCTCGGCCATCTTGGACGATATACGTGGGAAGCACAGTTAGCCCACTCCTCACAATAAGGGAACGGACTAGAATCTGGAGGGACTTCGACACTGCACTATTTCCACATCATCTCCCAGAAATCACTTTTCGAAACAACCTGACAACAACACTCAAACATTTGCCTCTGTGACGCATGCAGATCTGCAGAGTAGATCTACGTGACGTCATATGGAGTCATGCAAACAAAACATGCACGCCTGGAAAATGTATGAAAATATCATCAAGAGTTCATAACCCCCAAGAGTGTGCAACTCCTGATCAGTCCCTGTATGGAAGCCCGCTCGGCGGAATTCCTTCATTGCGTCATTTTTGGTGCAGTGCGATGAGTCACACCGATGAATTCTTCTAAAATTTACAGTCAAACCAGGATGCTTCCCCAGGGTAAACTGCCTAATCTGCGATTCTAGTCTGAGTCTGAGCCTCAACAGAAGCAAAAGTGAAACGAAGCACACGATCCTAAAGACAAAACTATTTATTTTTTCGATGCAATGGTGACTCTTCATCGCCTTCTTCTTCTTTCACCAGTGCAGGCAGTCTCTTCAAGAACAATTTCTTCCCCAGGCCATCGGCATAATATTTCCGGGTCTTTCCTCGACGTATTCTCTCAAGTTCCCGGGAGTCAACCATTTGAAATCGTCTTCGAAGGAGCATTTTTCGGCTGAGTTGCACAGCTATCAGAATGATTGTCCTCGACGGCAATGCAATATTTTTAACAGCGTCCTCACTTCTTCCTGTCGCGATGTCCTTGGAGAAAGAGTTTGTTTTTGAGAAAGTACGACTTGTACGTCCGAAATGTCTTGAAAAAAGCTTCGAAAAGTCGAGGCTACAGCCTTGAGTTAGGAGCGGTTCAGGGTATAGTTTCCAGAAATCGCAAAGAACCCATTTAATTTACCTCGGATGACAAGCTGCGCATGACGTAATGTAGGAATTTCGCCGAGCGCTGGGTCTATGCCCGTTGCACACTCTTGGGGGTTATGAACTCTTGATATCATGTGATTGAGTTTGAGTTTGAAAGTAACTACGTACAAGTAGTGAGTTGTTGAATCAATCTTCCCTTTTCATCTAACTTTTCATACATCTTTCGTTTGGTGGCTTCGAGCTCAGCATGTCTATATAATACGTTCAATCAGAGATCATTGTTGTGAGGTTTGTTGAAGTCCACACCATGGCGACTAAACGGCGGGCGACTAGTCCGGCCCCGGAGGAAAGTGATCAAATGACAATACGACCTCTGTAAGTAATAGCCACAGATTAGGAGTATTTACTCAATGGAAACGAAACTATCACCAGGGATGTTCATGTTGCTACATTTGATATCATGTAATGATCACGTACTATCAAATTCTACAGTACGTACGTTGAGTGCAACAATCTTTCTTACTGAAACAAAGTGGCTGAGATCTATTTTCCAATGTGGAAATGTGATCTGCAATATAAAGTAGTGTTGTGTATGTGTAGGGCTAGTGGCATCGAAAGGTATTTTAGGGTGGTACTGTCAGCCATGTGAAGTACAATTAACAGGGGCCCGGGGGGGGGGGGGGGGGGGGGTGCTTCTTTGCTGAAGTGTTCCGAAATTTAGAACCCGAGCCAGCGCATTTTATTGAATCATGACGTGCCTAGAGCAAAGAGTGGTATGGTCAATAGAGAGGTTGCGCACAACGAAGTTTCGTAGTGTTGGACGTAAGAAAGAACCACGAAAAAGGCTACGCAAATCGTTTGATTGGGAGGTTACGCAAAAGTGGTAACGTAACGTCAAGTTTTTCGTAGTTCGAGAAATAGGTCTAGACAGTGAGGCATGCAAGCGCTGAGTGTACGATAGTACGCAGGTGTCGTACATTACTGCATGGCAGTACGGTGATGGCAATGAAAGTAATTTTCGTCGTTCAGCTCTTTCCATCGAAAGTCTACGAAAGTTCGTACAACTTTTGTTAGGCCAGCTCGTTACGGCCAAATCTTACGAATTTTTGTTGTGCGCAACCTCTCTAATGCCATAGTGATCGTAGCATATCCGGCACCCCTGGGCCATGCGTCTGCATGAACACACTGAGAAGCACTCTCATCGATAACAATGCACTGCTTTTCTGACCACATGGAAATTGCGGAAGAATTTCTCAGAAAATGCGGACTGGAAATGCGAAAAATCGGCCAAACGCTCACGCTCACTCGGAGTGCACTCACCCGGGATTCGCCCAATCGATCACGCTCCAAGTTCACAGCTTTAGACGAGATTCTATCATAAATTAATATTAATGACTCTGGCTCTTGCTCTTCATTCTCTGTGCCATATTGCAGAGGTGCTGGTCAGGAAGTCGGCCGGTCTTGTATCATTCTTGAATTTAAGAACAAGAAGATTATGGTAAGGCGGTCTTTGTCAGAGGGGATCATGGTGAAAGGGTCTGTTTGTCAGAGAGGATCTGTCTTGATCCTGTTCCCATGCCTTGGGCTGGGTGTTGGGATATGTGATGTTATGGTGCTGGAAAGTAACTTCTTTTGGGTTCTGTTGCTGTTCAGGCTTACAAGCTCCCTATGTTGTATGCTGCTTCGAATAGGCACGCACCTGCTCCATTGTGCCTCTGCATGTTAATTTGTTTGTCGGCTGTTTGTGTTTTACCGGTCTATCTGTTTGTGAATCTTTCTCCTTTTCCTCTGCTCCTTCATCTTTCTGTGAGCACCGGACCTATGGGACGGTGAGAAGGCAAGCATGCCTGTGCAATTGGTGAAGTAAAATAAAAGTCAACAACAACAACAACAACAACAACAACATTGGCTTTTGACTGTGGAACAGGGTGTTTTCTGTCATGCTTTCCAGGTTGCCGCATACTTCCGAGTATAACATGTCATGTAACAGTTAGATTTACCAGAGCTGACATAGTGACCGTGTGATTTTCTGTGCTTGATCTGTTTGTGCGCAGTTGGATTGTGGTATTCACCCCGGTTTGCCTGGTCTGGAAGCCCTGCCATACACTGACATGATAGATGCCAGTGAGATTGACCTTGTGCTGATTACACAGTAAGTGTGCAGTGTGTCTTTGTTCTGGCTTCCTTTCTACAAGCAGAATGAAGTGTGTAGGTGTAGGTGTGCTTATTCATACTGTTGATGTTTTTGTTGTGGGTTTACTCCGACTTAGCCCTGTTTAGTTTTCACCTCTTGTTTAGTGTTGAACATCCTCATCCATATCCTCTCCTTGAGTGTTGCATTAGCACATTCACACATCCCAGGCAAGAACATGTACAGCCATTCCACACTTTTATTGCTCTTTTTTCACAATCTTGTCCTTCTGTTAGTGCTAGTTTTGCGAAGGAAATGTTCAGTCAGCCCTTTCCTCTACTTCAGTGTAGAACATTCTGTCAAGTGCACATCAGTTCTTTTCAGAGCCATTAGTTTGTGGAGGTGTTTTGCTCTGTTGCTTTCGCTCCTTTGAGGGTATTGCCTGTTCCACCTGTGCCTCCATGATGGGAGCATATTTGCTCCACCCCCTGACCCCGGAGTTCTGTAGCTACTGCTGATATTCGGATGTACGTTATCAATTCTCTCTCTCTCTCTCTTCTCTCTCTCTCTCTCTCTCTCTCTCTCTCTCTCTCTCTCTCTCTCTCTCTCTCTCTCTCTCTCTCTCTCTCTCTCTCTCTCTCTCTCTCTCTCTCTCTCATGCAGCTTTCATTTGGACCACTGTGGTGCTTTACCATGGTTCCTAGAGAAGGTAGGTCTCTTCACTTTATGCATGCATGAGACTTGTAGCCCGGTCACTGGAGCTTGTATTGGTCACAGCACTGTACGTTGAAGTACATGTATTCTTTCCGTTTGTCATGTGCAGTGCATGTATAGTTGTGGTGCTTGTTGTGAATTGGATTGAAATACGGGGAACTGCTTGTCATACCTGCTTGTTTTACTGATCTGTGCTTGTAGACCACGTTCCGTGGCCGTGTCTTCATGACCCACGCTACCAAGGCTATATACCGGTATGTTGTTCACCACACTGGTCTTGTGCTGCTTGGATATTTTCAATTATATTATTTTGTACACCACATAATAGTCTACTTGTAGCACTAAGGACTGTCTTTACCATGTCTTTTCTTGTTGCTTTGTCATCGGTTTCACTCCTTTGAGATATGCTTTTGTTGTGTAACTTTTAGTCTATGCGGAGGTAGTCTCTGCTAATACTGGTGTCTATGTGATTTTCTTTGCTTGAGCAGGTGGCTTCTGTCAGATTATGTCAAAGTCAGGTAAGTTCTGCCTGGCCCGAAGCACTGACTGCTATGTCATGTGTGGCTGTGTTGCTGTGCCATGTGCGGCTGTGCTGCTGTGCCATGCGTTGCTGTGGTGTTATGCCATGTGCAGCTATGCCATGTGCTGCTGTGGTGTTATGCCATGTGCTGCTATGCTGCTGTGCTGCTGTGCCATGCGTTGCTATGCTGCTGTGTCATGCGTTGCGGTGCTGCTATGCCATGTGCTGCTGTGCTGCTATGCCATGTGCTGCTGTGGTGTTATGCTGCTTTACCGTGTGGTACTGTACTGCTGTGGTGCTGCGCTGCTATGGCATGTGGTGGCATACTTGTATGCCTTGTGCTGCTTTACTGCTGTGGCATGTGGTGCCATACTTCTATGCCTTGTGCTGCTTTGCTGCTGTGTCGCCATGCTGCTATGTTGTTTTGCCATGTGGTGCTATGCTGCTTTGTGCATGCACTGTTCTCATTGGGAAGTTGATGGTACAGGTACACGTATCTAGCACCTCTGTGGTGTTTGCGGTGTGCCTGCTCCTGCTTTCTATCTTCAGAAGTTCTATGTCGAACCTTTGATTGTGAAAGACGTAACACGCCGCATTTATTATATTTGCTTGTTTGTCCCAACAATAAGCCTGCATTTTGACAGCAGTTTGGGAATTGTTTTAGTGCTGTATCAACATTCTTATGAGTTGTTATCATCTTGCCTCACACCAAAGATGTGTGTTTGTGTTGCTTTTGCAGTAACATATCTGCGGATCAAATGCTGTATACTGAAAAGGAGCTGGAAGCTAGCATGGCGAAGATAGAAACCGTCAACTTTCATCAAGTGAGTCTGTGTTGTTGGCAGTGCTGTTATTGGCATAATATCAAACTTTAGCAGGATGTGTTGTGTTGTTACGTGATTTAATAAATGATATATTATTGATCCATTCTACTGGCATCACTAAGTCCTTTTTTCTGCCATGTTTCTCTGCCCATTTTCATTATCACCAACATAGGTTTCATGTGCTTTTGCATAAGTAACCCTTATTCCTTTTGTATTGTGCGTGTGTGTGTGTCTGTGTGCGTGCGTGTGTGTGTGTGTGTGTGTTTTCTTGCTGTGTTGTAGGTGATTGAGGTTGGGGGTGTGAAGTTTTGGTGCTACAATGCCGGTCATGTCTTGGGTGCCGCCATGTTCATGTTGGAAATTGCTGGTGTAAAGGTCAGTCTGCTAAGAGCATTTTATTTTATCTTCCTGAAACACCAATCTTACCATGGCTGAGTAGCTCTATTGCTGGTGTGTGTGAGTGCGTGTGGGTGGGTCGGTGGGTGTAATTTACTCTGACGTCTTCATAAATTTCTACAGGCAATTCTCCTTCAACCTCCCTTGAAAAACGATGTTTTTATGGTATTTTGCAGTATTTACTTGCCTGTTGTCTGCTTGCTTCCACTGGTGGAAGTCAACTGTGATTGTGCCATTACCCGTCTTCTTTAAATCTCCCACAATTGGTCTCATCTCATGTTACGTTCTGGGTTCTAGATAATTTTGACATTAGGGGCAATGAATTATTACTCTTTTGTAACTTCCCTTCACTGGCTTTTTGTCCTTGCTATGCCTGCTCTAGATTCTATACACAGGGGATTTCTCACGACAAGAAGATCGGCATCTAATGGCTGCTGAGATTCCACCAGTCTCGCCAGACGTCCTCATCATGGTATGGTTGCGCATTCGCCTTGGAAGTTGTCTCTTGCGTCCTCTGCGATACAAGCTACATGTTTGTTGCTTTCTGTGTCTGTCTTGTGCCAGGAATCAACATACGGTACTCACATCCATGAGAAGCGAGACGTACGGGAAGCTCGCTTCACCGGTGAGCTTGGCTACTGTTTCGCATCCCTCTTGACACAAACCTTTAGTGTCGTTGCTTCTTGTTCTTGCTGTGTGTCCAGTTATCAACTTCTTCCAGGTTTGTTGCAGTCGTGTTCAGCAATTCTTCTTTGAACTGACTGCAGTGTGTGATGCTTATTCTTGTGGTATAGGAACTATCCATGACATCCTCAACCGTGGAGGTCGCTGTCTCATCCCTGTTTTTGCGCTGGGAAGAGCGCAAGAATTGCTTCTTATCTTAGGTACTGTCCTGGATATTAGATTTGCCAGTCCCTACAACTGGGAGTCATGTTTCTGGTGTGAATGAGGTCGGCCAGAGAGCGCATGTGGTGGAGTTTGAACTAATTCATGCTGTCTTGCTCGTCATTTATTGTAATGTGCACAATCTCGATCCACTGTGACTACTTGATGCTGGCTGCCATCAATTGACATGATTGTGATAGCCATATTCGTAGTACCATCCGCCTACAATGTCTATAGTAGATGGGTGGCGAGTGTGCTCTTTGTCTGTTCTGTACACGTGTAGACGAGTACTGGGCTAACCACCCGGAGCTACAGGAGATTCCCATCTACTATGCGTCATCCCTTGCCAAGAAATGCATGTCGGGTAGGTGTTTGTGTACGCGTATGCTTTTTTCTGTGATGCCATGCCAATGGTCGTGATAGGCTTCTTGTTCAGATGACCTTCTGTCAATCTTTTCTCCTCGAGGTCATGGCAGAAACGGTGCATTCCTGGAGTCATACCTGTTTGCCGGTACATACAGTGCAACTGCCGCTACACATACTGCATCCTAGATTCTTATTGCTATGTTAGCGAAGCAAATTGAGTTCCTAGCTTTCCTCACTAGGTACATTGCTGTGAAGCGGTGGCCCTGTTCCGATGCGTGGGTATACAGTGCTGCTCAATGAAATCTGATTGGGTGAGCGTGAGCTGCACCCTGCACCAGTTCACATCGCTGCTCAATGAAATCTGATTGGGTGAGTGTGAGCTGCACCCTGCACCAGTTCACATCCCAGTTTGTGCAGGTCTAGGGTTGCACAGTGCCTGGCGTGGCATTGGCTCGTTTGATCAGATTTCATTGAGCAGCGCTGTGGTTTTTACCAATGCTGGTTGGTGTATATGTACATGACTGTGCTCTTTTCCTGACTTTTCCATCTTGTGTAGTGTTTCAAACGTACGCCAACGCCATGAATGAACGCATCCAGCGTCAGGTAGGGGCTATTTGCAGAGAGTGGTTCCGTGTGCGTGCATGCGTGTGCCAGTTGCGGAAACAAGCCTATGCATGCTTGTGCCAGCTGTGTTGTTACGACAATAGTGCTATGACGCAGTGTTTTCCCACGTATCCACGGATGAAAATGCGTAAAGGGTTTCGAACAAAGCTCGTGAGTTGATAGGCAACCTTGGTGATATGTGTGATTATATTTCCGTCTCCTAAATCTCTCTGTACACACTGTACTATTCAGAACTGCATTGTGGTTTCTGCTGTATTATGTTGATTGGTTGGATTCTACTTCACAGATCAGTGTGTCAAACCCTTTCATCTTCAAGCATATCTCCAATCTGAAGGTAAGGTTGTATTGTTGGAAGATCCAAAGCATTGTATGCTGCGAAGGGGAAGACAATTTTCTCCATGCTGTAAATTAACAAGTATTCAGCACATATTTAGTTTCGTCTATTTTTCGGCCTGAGACTTCAAGGCCTAAAATTTGTTGTGGCTAAAAGATTAGTTTGCAAGGTAAAGTGTGACAGAGTATGCAGGCAGGGGCAGTACAAGCTGAAATTTTAATGCGGATGGAACGTGATTTAGCCCTAGGAGGCTGAAAATTATTTCTTCTTCTGGAGAGAAACACGTATACTCTCCCCTGACCTCCAAGTCTTACCTCTTCCCCCCCCCTCCCCACTCCTGCCCTTTTGTAGTGGCACTCCGGCTTTATACAAATGTAGGCTCTAATAATGTTGAAACTTGAATTTGGGAAACTAATATCAAGTGATGCACTGGTCGAAAGTGTCTGAACAGCTGCAGATTGCCTGAAATTTTGCGCTCAATCACACCAGCCACGCAAGGCTATGGCCACATATGACATTGTGTGCCTAAATTGCACAAACCTGTTCATGCTTGGGTGAATACTGATGTGCAATTGTGCTGCTGCCTCACCTCTACATATAACAGGAAGGTTGCTCCTAGCCTACCTAGAACGCGACTCTGCAGATCTGTGTTTTAATCTTCATTGCACCTGTTCTTGTCTCTTGTGTCTAGAACATGGAGCAGTTTGATGATATTGGACCATCCGTTGTAATGGCTAGCCCGGGAATGATGCAGGTGAGGATGGTATCTCGTATGACACCACTAGCCATGATCGTATATACCAAATCTTGGTGGATGTGACAATGTGGCATAGATTCGGATGACAGCTTACACTGGCCACCCTATTACCATGTTACGGTTGAGTATTTGAATTAGTGCTGAGTCAGGTAGCATTTTCTTCGGGTATCGGGTACGGGTAGTTTTCCACGGGTAGCACGGGTACCCGATCGGGTAATGTTTCCATGGTAACACCACAATGCACCCCTTCCCTTACACACTGGTTAGACATGCAGAGATGACATGAATTTGTACACGTGCACGAGCTGTACATGTCATACGATATTATCTGCGACTTCGGGTTTTCGGGTGCTATTCCGTACCCGACTATCCGAGGTCACAGTACGGGTAGCACCAAGAGTACATAAACCAGAGTGTGCAACTGTGCATATCAGATCTGAAACAGCGCAGTTCGTGCACTACGTCACCCTGATGAGATCAGCCAAGCCGCGACTTGCGTACAGCTCAAATTTTCATGTTTCATAGCCCGGAAATCAGCCAAGTTTGCTTGATTTTAGACGTCCTGCTTCAGGATTTCGGTGTTTAGTGTGACTGTATACGCTGCGTACATCCACCGACAAGTAAAGTCACCAGGCTATCCGTCTCAAAAAACCGAAATCAGGACAAACTCAGTGAACTGCACCACCGCGACTGGTTACGCAACTTTTCACCGTACCTGTGGCTTACCATGCCGTCAGAAATGACGTAGTGCACGAATTACGCTCCCACAGGAACCATTCCGAGTTGCACACTCTGGTTTATGTACTCTTGGTAGCACGGGTACCCGACTACCCGTGCACACCCCTAATTTGAATGTGTAATATACAGTCATGTACTTTGATCTACACCATAGCTTAGTAGAGCATCGCTGGCCATAAGCGAGGGCCCATGGTTCGAGTCCTGGTGGTGACAGTCAATTTTTTCTTCAGACTTTTCCCGTTTGCATCTTTCCCTCAAACTTATGAATGCTTTGATCAATAGTAGTACCTGCTTCTGTTTCTGTTTCTCTCTTACTGTGTAATTGCTTCAGAGTGGCTTGTCTCGAGAACTGTTTGAGAACTGGTGTACAGATCGACGCAATGGCGTTGTGATTGCTGGATATTGTGTGGAAGGAACGCTAGCCAAGGTAGGTTATGATGTGTCCGCTTGTTGAGCCAGTTTCCTGAATTGGCATGTGATTCCAATAGTTTTGTGTTTGTATGTGTGTGCGCGCGCGCGTGTGTGTGTGTGCGCGCGCGCATGTGTGTGCGTGTGTGTCTGTGTCTGTGTTGCCTTTCTTCCCTTGACCCCTACAGCATGTTATGTCAGAGCCTGAGGAAATTACCACCCTCAGTGGTCAGCGCTTACCACTGAAGATGTCCGTTGGTGAGGAACAGTTGATTGGTTGATGTTGGGAAAAGGCATGGGATGTGCAGTGCATTGTGTTCTCTCTAGCCAGCAACAACACCAGCAGATGCTGTATAAGCAGAAATATTCGTCTGGAATTTAATTTTGTCTTTTTCGTCCAAGGAGCTTTTGGACAACATTAACTGCCGGACTAATGTCGACTTGTCCTTCTTTTCAGTACAGCCTTGTGGTCCATGGACTAATTTTTCAACCAGACAAACTCCCTTTTTTGGGGGATGGACAACTATTGACCGGCTAAAATTTCTGCCTGTACAGTATTAGAAATCTAGCAGTAGGTACTCCCTCCATGTCATGAGCAGTAGGTACTCCCTCCATGTCATGAGCAGTAGGTACTCCCTCCATGTCATGAGCAGTAGGTACTCCCTCCATGTCATGAGCAGTAGGTACTCCCTCCATGTCATGTGCAGTAGGTACTCCCTCCATGTCATGAGCAGTAGGTACTCACACCATGTCATGTGCAGTAGGCTGTGTTGCCACACCTGCCGACATGTCAGTAGCCTGCCGATTTTTGGGGCCTGTCACGACCTGCCGACAACAGCCGTGAAAGTGTCCAAACTTGACCTTTGTGCTTGGTTTAGAAGTCGTGGTCCAGAATTTTGCCTTTTACTGCTCATTACGAGTGTTTCCATAGCTCTCTCCTACAATACAAACATCAGCTGTCTGGGGGAAATCGTGTGCACTGTAGAATCCCGCTGGTGGGTTTGTACAACGAAGCTTGGCGATGTTCGAACTTGGCCTAGGCTTATGCGTGGGTGGGTTTATTCGCTGGATTCTACGATATATTAGGGTTACTATGAGAGGGGGGGGGGGGGGGGGGGTCCGGGGGCTTCGCCCCCGGATGATGCATTTTATTTTTTTCAGTCTACTGATATTTGGCTATAATGATGTGGCAACACTGAGTAGGTACTCCCTCCATGTCATGAGCAGTAGGTACTCCCTCCATGTCATGTGCAGTAGGTACTCCCTCCATGTCATGAGCAGTAGGTACTCCCTCCATGTCATGAGCAGTAGGTACTCCCTCCATGTCATGAGCAGTAGGTACTCCATCCATGTCATGTGCAGTAGGTACTCCCTCCATGTCATGAGCAGTAGGTACTCCCTCCATGTCCTGAGCAGTAGGTACTCCCTCCATGTCATGCGCATGTTACATCATTGCCCGTAAAAGAGGCTAAAGAGGCTATCACCAGGGCGAACTAAAAAAATGTTACCTTATTGCTCCTCGCAGTACAATCTCACAAGTCATTATTAAATTTTACATGTCCTTCAAGTACAAGTACATGTAGTATGGATCAGATGTACACCTGGATATTACGTACTACTTTCATGGCTTTGGTATTTCCGCTTCCTCCTCCTCCTCTGCAGTAATAGTAGTAGCCTTAGTATTAGGGGATGCACACTCACAGGGTAACCCGCGGTCACGGGACGAGGGAAAGTTCTGACCGTCTGGCAACCGCGACACGTAGGACCGTTCGCACGCCTAGTCAGCTTTCCCTTGGTCACATGTGTTGCCTTGTCTGTTGTGGAGGGTAACTCAAAAATCCATTTTGTACTGAATTTGTGCTGCGTTTTTTGTTTGCAGTGCATGCTGTGCTATATTTCATCATTTTCATGCCTGACGTGCGCAATTGCATGCTTGATCACATTGTCTGCAATGCAACCTGCGATGTTCTCGTACATGCACGACTATGCACTGCGGACACTTGGCAATAGAACGTGCCCTTTCCCTCCATGGTCACTGTCCTGAGGCATGTGGCCATGGTTTTGCCATACCTTTCCCAAGAGATTTTTCCTATCCCTTCACGCCATGAATTCCAAAACAACTTTTCCGAAACTGTGGTTTTACAGGTTTGTGAATCCCCTATCAGGGCACAAAGATCTACGAAAGTGCAGACTACACCTACTGTTCTGGATAAGCTGGAGCAGTGTTTCTTTTTGAATTTCACAGTGAAGCCTGGCGTGAGCATCAATTTGTCTAAAAGGATCATGTGCATACCCTTTTGCGTTGCGGTTGACATACACTCTTTGTACCGTACAAACTGATTTGTGCGGACTACAGTAGATTCGTACGCCCAAGAACGCGGTTTCAGAGGGCCAGCCTAGCAAAGTTCTTATTTTTCAGTGCCCCAGGCTACGTTCTTATTTCGCGTTCTTACGCGTCCAACGTGACCCGTGGCGCTCATGTACAATGCACTTTGCGCTACATGTACCGGTTGTACACTTTACATGCACGTGTAGTGATGTTTTCGCGAGGAACCGACAAGAGTTTGTGGTAGCGGACTTGTTTTTCGTGTACATTCTTAAAAATCTTGGAGTTCCTTTTAAATCCAGGCTGGGGCGTTCTTAGATTTCCAGCCTGGACGTTCTTGGGCGCCACGTTCTTGGGCGTACGAGTCTACTGTATGACGAATGCTGCCTTGGTTTCGCCAACGAATGTGGTCTGTTTCCTGAGTTTCGTTTCATTGGCATGAGGCTGATCCTTGTGTACTAGCTGCACGATCCTGTTCTACATAATTGTGCCAACCAAATGCACCCTTTCAATCGGGCAAATACGGTACCCCTGTCCTGAGATGATACCGTTTTAGTGCATTTGACTGGTCATTTTTACTACATAATTATACATTCTTATTTTTATGCGCACTTGGGGGCCCGGGGAAGTTCTATTTATTCCCCGTTCAACTCTCTAAGCAACGTGTACGACGAGGTGGCCGAGTGGTTAAGGCGATGGACTGCTAATCCATTGGGCTCTGCCCGCGTGGGTTCGAATCCCATCTTCGTCGTGTGACACTATTTTTTTTCTTTTTCCTCGTCCGAACCGTGCCGGCAAAGTCGGATCGTCTCTCCCCGTTCCTAGATCCTTGCTGTCTCCGTTCTCTTCTTTCCCTTGGTAGATTACGTTTCCTTTTCAGCCCATGTGGACTACGAGCAAATTAGTGAATTTGTTCGAATATTGAAGCCACCACAAGTCGTAAGTATTGTTTTTGGAGCTGTTTTATTTTTTCTTGTCAAGTGCAGCGTGGCTTCGCAATTTCGATCGCCATATCGCCGGTTTGTTGTGCGAATCAAACAATTATTTCCCCGTTTCTATGCTTCTGGAACGTTGTTGACCCTGAAGGTGACTTCGATAGGCTCGCCTCATGCTAAATGATTTCTTTTCTAAAGCATTCACGCAGCATCCCTGGTTCTAGCGGTATGCAAAGTGTTTCGTTCCAGATATTCCTCATGTCTCTTGCTGTGCTTGAAAGTTGAAACTCATTGTGCCATAGCAAGCAGTAGGTACTAAGGCTGCGTTCGTTTTTAGCTACCTGGTAGAGTAGAGTAGAGTCACTCTACCGATAGAGGTAGATGGTAGAGGCAAGTGTACGAACGCTGTTCTACCAGATCTAGTAGTTTACACGATGTGTACGTGAAATGTTTCTTTTTTTTATGGAGTTGTGTACAAATCCTCGATCTTGCTGGAAATCCCGTAGCTCTACCAACTTCTACCGGTTTCTACCAACTTTTTCCCGGTAGAGCCGGTAGAGGAAAGTAGAATCTACCCTTTTGAGTAGAATTTTTTTTCAAAAAACGAACACCTCTACCGTAAGAAGTAGTTTCTACCCAAACCTGTAGATCAAAAACGAACGCCCCCTAAAGAGCAAAGTACACCGTACTTCTTTTTTCTATTTTCTTTATTCTTCTTTTTTGTTGCATGTGAACCGGTAGCAGCAATAGGACAATTGAATTGGCACTGCAAAAAAATCTGCACCAGGCACAGGTTTCTTGTAGATCTTCTCTGTAGGTCTACTGAAGTACTTGTTATGGTGCAGTTCCACTGTACTGTATTCAGGATTGTTTTACTTTGGTGTTGCACTCTAGGTACTGGTTCATGGAGAGGCAACAGAAATGGGCCGACTGCGGTCAGCGTTGGTCAGAGAATATGAAGACAATCCGGTGAGAGCTTTGTCATTTCTCTTTCACTGCTCCTGGGTTCTCAGACAGTGCAAGGCTTGCCTTTGTGCCCAAGTGAACTGCACACTTATACATTTACAATGAACACCATTTCTCATAACGAAATCATAATTATATGCATGCATGCTGGCACACACACACACACACACACACACACACACACACACACACACACACACACACACACACACACACACACACACACACACACACACACACACACACACACACACACACACACACACACACACACACACACACACACACACACACACACCACACCACACCACACCACACACACACACACACACACACACACACACACACACACCTCAGACCTCAGACATGCCCATCGCGGAAGCGATGATAGCGAACAGCTATGTTAGACATAGCAACTTGTGCTGGGATTACACCATTCAACAGCTTGCAAGGCTGATGAATTGACCGCCACTATTTTTAGCCTGGTATCCACCACACAGCTGTTTGAAGTGACTTTTTCTGGCCAGTGAATCCCTATTTTTCATTTTTTCCATTTTTTCTACACACACACACACCACACCACATACTCCGGCATACACTGGCTGTTGATTACCACCCAGGAGAATGAAAGAAAAGTCAGGAAGAGTCCGAGAAAGAGAAGAAAGACGTGTGCGACCATAATCGTCGGGAATTGAACACACACACACACACACACACACACACACACACACACACACACACGCTCGCACATACACACCATGTACACACACATCGTGTACTAAGTACACACGCACGTGTGTGTGCGCACAGTTGCAGTTGCATACCCCCTTTCTCTCTCTCTCTCTCTCTCTCTCTCTCTCTCTCTCTCTCTCTCTCTCTCTCTCTCTCTCTCTCTCTCTCTCTCTCTCTCTCTCTCTCTCCCTCCCTCCCTCTCTCTCTCTCTCTCTCTCTCTCTCTCTCTCTCTCTCTCTCTCTCTCTCTCTCTCTCTCTCTCTCTCTTAGTATGTTTTGTGCATGTAGTCCAGTGATAACAAGTGAAGCGCTAGGCAAGGCAAGGTTTTAGTTTCCTTCCAGCGACGTTGCAGTGCAGTATTGACGTGACGTCACCAGATCCCAGCAATTGTATTGTACTGCACTAGTCCCACGGCAGATTGTCTCTTGCCAAGCCTGTATTCCTTTGTTGTAGCAGCACTGGTGGTTTTGTTTGGCCATCGATCCTGACATTGGTCTTATCCCCATTGATTGCTTTGTTGTTTCAGCATGTCAAAATGTCACTGCACACACCAGCTAACACACAGGCTGTGGAGTTATGCTTCCGTGGTGAAAAGATGGCAAAGGTAAATGTCTCATGTAACTCTGGCAACTATGTACATTCATCTTCATCTTCAAAGCAACTAATTATAATATGTAACCCATTGTAAAAAAATACCAGCTCAGAGGTTATGATGTGTGCACAGACAGGCAAACATGCATGTGTGTGTGTGTGCGTGCGTGTGTGTGTGTGTGTACGTGTATAGAGGAGGGGGAGGGGGCAAAGTATCCATGCTTATTGCATTCCCAACTTGTTTTGTTTTTATGTTGCTGAGGTGGTATACTTTTCTGTCGGTTTTCAATGCATATGTCTTGTAGGTGGTTGGTGGACTGGCGTCAAGGGAACCACAGGATGGTGGCACGGTATCGGGCATTCTCATCAAGCGTGGGTTCAAATACCACTTGATGGCACCGACTGATCTTGCGAGTAAGTCTTTGACTTGCCATTCCCTGTGTTGGGAGAGGAGAGCATACCATGTCCCTTGTAGTATCCCCTGTGTGATCCATTGCGGTGGTATTAGCAGTTGCCACCGGTATCAGATTCTGCGATTCTTTCTCGTTGTCATCGGCGTGTTTATCATAACACTGTGGCTGTTGCTGTTTGTCTTTCTCTCAGATTACACCGACCTGTCTAGTAGTGTTGTTACACAGGTTAGTACGTGTGTGCAGGTGTACTACTACAGTGCATGTTTTATCGGTTCTTCTACTGTCTGCTGGTAATTATTTTATTCCGCTTGGTTTTGACATTCTGTATCACACAATTTGTGGTTTTCCCGAATAAAGCTTTGAGTCACGGTACATGTGTGTGGTCTTGTCGTTACCATGTGCATAGAAGCATGCATGTCTTGTTGTTTAAGTCTTGTTCATTAGTATTACTAGTAGTCTTTTGTCTTGCAAGGCCACTGGCAAAGGTCCCGTTCCATTCACACTTGCTCCTGGTTTCCATGTTTGATGCACACTTTACCCTTTAGCAGTACAGTAGCCTAGAAGAGTGGTCTTGGAAGACAGTTTGCATTCTCCCTTTCTGGGTATCTGTGCGTTGTTATATTGTAGAAGCAATGTGTACCTTACAAGTCTCTCTTCTCGCTAGTTGGTTACTACTTACGACAAGTAGCTGGAGAAGTGGAGGAGATCAAGGAGAATGGCATGGTGACTGGGTACAAGGTGAGAGAGACATGCTCCTTACGGCTTCGGAGTTTTCTGTCTGATTTCGTCATGTTCCTGGGTGGTGTGGCGATTGCTAACGAGCTGTCTTCCCTCCCTACTGTACACACAGCGCACGGAGAAAGGCTTTTGTGATATATTTGGGATTCCTATTGGTTTGTATGTGAACTAGACAGAAATGCGCCTTCATCAGTGCATGTTGCATGCATGAGTGAAAGCTGAATCTCTTCCACTGCCAGCCAGTTTGCACATGTGCAATGGCGTGTCACTTTGGATTTGTTTCTTTCTGTGCAGGCGTTCAAGGTTGTGACAGTGTTGAAAGGAGCTCAGAAAGTTGTGCTTGAGGTATGGCTGGTCCTTGTACACATTTCTGTGTGTTATGTTATTGTGTTTTGGTTTTATTTTCAACTTTTTTTCATTCTGTCACAAACTGCATTGGCGAAGTACATGATCTGTTTGAATTCCACGTGCATATTGAAGCCATATTCGTTATTTACCAGGCTTGTGTGCAAAGTAGTTTATCTGTATGAAATTCATGTACATGTTGCTTTTATGGATGACATACGGATTCCCCTCTCTTTGCTTCCTTGCTCCATGTTTGCTTCCTCTCTCTGCTTCCTTGCCCCATGTTTGCTTCAGTGGATCGCCAATGAAGCCAATGACATGTATGCCGATGCAGTACTGTCTGTATTAATGCAGATCGAAGGTGATACCACGGGAAATGCACTTTCTGGTAAGTCTGCTGTATTGTACTGTGCATGCATGTAGGATGCTATAACCATACTGTGCTGGTTGATGCATCCTCAACCATGAAATTGAACCAGTTTGATCATGTATCCTGGGCCCAGGTTTGAAGGTTAGCAAATGACCAGAATCGGCAAATTATAGCCATGTGAACGAACAGCTGAGCTTGGAATCTTCGCGACTTCTGGTCATGATCCACTTGGAAAAACGTGGAAAGAGATGATATACATGTATGTGACTAATTTGTTGGATGACCTGCATTCTGGCGGTGAAATATCTGTGCACATATAGGGAATTCTGGAATGGGCGGATTTGTGCGTAACCGGTCGCATCAATTGTATTGATAATGCAGGCACAAGCATACCAATGCGCAATAGAACATGGATATAAATCAGGAAGTGCGTTGGAGATATGAAAGCGAGCTAGCGGGAAACAAAAAGGGAAAAAGGTGGCGCTCGGAAGGCCGAATCGAACGGCTGTGGCGTTAACCACCTACAGGTTTGAAGCCTGCACCCCACACCAGTGAAGCTCATCCGAGCAACCCTTTAGTGGCTGCGCTAGGTTTATGTACTGCCTGAGCTATCTCTAGTGGAAGAATTTACCCATTCTGGCTAGCGTAGTAAAACATATTTCAAGACGTGTATCTCTCATGTTATCAGGTCCTGCTCCATCGCACCACACTCAGTGCGTGTCTTTACTTGTATAATGTTGCCGTGCCGCGTTGCCATGGAGACCAAGTTGTCTTTTTTGTCCGTGTGTACTTGGGTACCTCTCTCTTGATGAGCATTGAAGTGAGCAGTAATGTAGCAACTGGGTAATTCATGAAGTTATCAATTGTGCTGTTCGTACTTTGTACATTCGCATGGTCGCCTTGTTACCATAGCAACAGCATCATCATGCATTCAACCTCGTGAACAACGACCTCGGGTATGACAACAACTTGCGAGAAACGGCACAATCTTCACTGACTTCAGACCTAAAATAGCAATGAAAAATATCAATTGTGCACTCATAACCATGTATAAACAATTAAAATGAAACAATTCCAGAACGTTTTCGTGTGACCATCATCAGTGGAACATCGTCACATAGTAAGAATCACTAAAACAACCAGTTATATAGCTAGAGTAATATGAAAAGAAGCGTGAGAATGCAGCACAGCTAGCGGTTATGCATAACGCGTGTAGTGTGAACCTTTGCTTTGCAGTGCAAAGGTTCACACTACACGCGTTATGCATAACCGCTAGCTGTGCTGCATTCTCACGCTTCTTTTCATATTACTCTAGCTATATAACTGGTTGTTTTAGTGATTCTTACTATGTGACGATGTTCCACTGATGATGGTCACACGAAAACGTTCTGGAATTGTTTCATTTTAATTGTTTATACATGGTTATGAGTGCACAATTGATATTTTTCATTGCTATTTTACGACTGTTGTCTCCTCGTCGATTATTTAAAGACTTCAGACCTAGCGAGCATTTGACTGCATACTTTCAACTAGTGCCGTAGTGGTGTGCACGGGTACATCGGAAACGAAGTACTTCGGACTGGCTTTTGCCCACGTGGTTCTCCCGGAATCCGACTTTGAACGATCTATGTCTGCCGACTTTTGGCCAGAAACCCTGCGTGTACGAGAATGGCGATTCGCATCTGACCGCATTGCTACCTCCTACAACTAACTATGACTTCACCCACTCTCTCTCAGCCACCACCTTTTTGCCCCACTGTGGAACCCATGCCGCATGATGTTATAAGTAACCTTGTCTTCCCCAACACTACTGGAACACTGAATCCACTGGCCCGTCCCTTTTATCCTTCCATCCATACTGCCCTTACCATCCTTTCCCTCAACTGCCGCTCAGTGGTCAACAAAGTAGCGGAACTCACTGTTATGTGCAACATCTACTCTCCGGAGGTTATATGTTTGTGTGAAACATGGTTGTCCCCTGCCAACCTCTTCTCATTGGCAGGCTACACAGTTCATCGACGGGATCGTCCCACCTGTAATATTCAATCAGCCAATCCTACCAGAGGTTATGGTGGGGTAGCCATACTGGTGAAAGATGGCTCCTTTACATCGGTGAAGCCTCTGGCGAATCTTCAGCAACCGGGCTTGGAGGCCATCTGGCTTGAGCTTCGCACAGCCAACTCACCCCAACGTCCACTCATAGTCTGCGCCACCTACCGACCTCCTGGTGGTACCCTGGCGGATATCCAGGCCTATTCTGATGGTCTGGAAGACTGCCTTCTGTCAATTAATCTATCTGAATCCACACTACTCCTCACCGGTGACTTCAATGCCCATAACTCGAGCTGGTTGGCTGGTGATCGGACAACCCCGGTGGGTCAGTGCCTTGAAACTGCCTTCAGGTGCTTCGGATTAGAGCAACTGGTCAACTTCCCTACGCACTGGAGCCCAAGTGGCCGGTCATCTTGCTTGGACCTCATCGTCACAAATTCACCCCAACAGTTCCTCTCCGTTGATTCAGCAGCTCCACTGGGTAGCTCTGACCACGTGCAGCTCATCTGTCGAGTCCGTCTCCCTGCCACGTCCAAAAATCCAACCCTACACCATCACTTCCTCCCAACATCTACCCCTACACCCCCAGGTTACAATTTCAAGTTGGTGCCATGTTGCGTATGGGATGACCTGAATGCTGAACTTGCTGATGTCCACTGGAAATGTCACCTCCGCAGCTCGCACGTGGATGACGCTCTTTCGTCTTTCCACTCTATTCTTAGCAGGGCCATGGAGAAGCACCTCAGTTACTTCTCCCGGCGTCCACTCTCCCCCTCATGCCGACGTTTAGGTCAGCCACCTTGGGTTGATGCCCCCCTCCGTGCCGCCATTAAGGCAAAGCACGATTTCTACAGCGTGTGTAAGAAATACCCAACCCAGCTTAACATGCATGTATATCGATCTCAACGGAACTTGGTGAAGAGTCTGACTCGATCGAAATACCGGGGATACATTCGGTCCGTACAAGCTACGCTGCAGGACAAAAACCGCCCATCACTGTTTCAGTTCGTGAACAAATTAAAAAATCATAAAGTATCTCGTGACATCCCGACACTCACCATTAGTTCTACGCAGCAGGCTACTACCTCTTCAGCTAAAGCCACTGCATTGAACTCTCAGTTCGCCTCAGTGGCCGTGCCTGATGACCCTTCTCTACCCATTCCCCCCATTGCCGAGGAGTCGGGTGAGGTTGACCGTCTCACATCTGTCTTTACTACGACTGCTGCCATTCGACGTTACATTCGAAAGCTCCCGTCTGACAAGGCTCCGGGCCCAGACGGCATCACTAATCTGGTATTAAAGTCCCTTGCGCCCTCAATAGCATACCCATTATGTCTGATTTTCAACCTATCATTCCGCACTGGTCGTTTTCCCTCTGCATGGAAAACAGCTAATTTTATACCGATCTACAAGAAAGGGTCCCGCCACGAAGCATCAAACTACCGTCCGATATCTCTACTGTCCTGTGTTTCCAAACTCTGTGAGCGCGTTTTCTACGACCAATTGTACTGTCATGTCTCGTCACGTTTGAGTTCAGCTCAGTCCGGATTTCGCAGAGGCGATTCTACCACCCTCCAGCTGACGCGCCTGGTGCAATTAGTGTGTCGACATCGGGATGCTGGAGATCTAGTCGGGATTTGTTTTTTCGATCTTGCCAAGGCCTTCGATACCGTCTGGCACCGGGGGCTTTTGGCCAAGCTTCGTGGATCATTTACTGTAGACGGCAATCCCCTGCTATGGCTGACATCTTACCTCACTGGGCGAACGCAGTACGTCACGGTACATGGGACGTCCTCGGCCGACACAACAGTACTATCCGGAGTTCCCCAGGGTTCCATCCTCGGCCCCCTTCTTTTTATTTTATACGTCAATGATCTGCCCGCAGCTGCCCCGGGCACATCACTGTTCGCAGATGACACAACGCTCCTACGGGCATCTCCTAACATCACTGGCCTGATGAGTAACCTAGCTAACGGGATTCAAAGAGTTATTTCCTGGATGTCGTCTTGGCGGTTATCGCCCAATCTGTCTAAAACTAAAATCATGCTCTTTCCTTCTCAGCCCGATGTTCCGCCCCTCCTCCATCCCACTTTCCCCCAGCCTATAGACATAGTCTCCAGCCATAAGCATCTTGGCATTTTCATTGACTCTAATCTTTCATGGGAACCCCACATCGATTACATATGTAAACGATCAAGTTCATCTTTAGGAATTCTCTCTTCTCACTGTTACCATCTCCCAATCTCTTGTAAACTCCTCTTTTACTCAGCTTACTTACGCCCCATTTTTGATTATGCAGATACTGCTTGGGCTGGAATTTCCACAACCCGTGCTGCCAAGCTCGAGATTCAACACAAAAAAGTCCTCAAAATCCTCCTCCGAAAACCCCGCATGCTTCCATCTTCCACCCTTTATGCCCTTGCTGACACTTCCCCTTTGTCTAAGAGACGTAATTCACATCTTGTCACCCTTATCCATTCTCTCAAACTCAATCTGTGTCCACCTCACCTCCACTGTTTCAACTGGTTCTCTTCCCGTAGCACGAGAAACTCCCTTTCCCTTCCGAAACCTAAGTCCTCCTTTCTACTTCACTCTCCCTTTTTTATTGCGTACTCTGCGTGGCTGGCACTTCCCCAAGAAGCTAAGGACCTTTCTTCCCTCCGCCTTTTTAAGAGCCTTGTCGCGCCTTGATTTTGATTTTGTGTTTCTGATTTGGTTGCAATCACTGCTTATCCATGCCGGTTCCTTTTTCTTCTCCTCCCCTTCTCCCTGCCTTGCCGTGGTTGGCTAACACCCTCTCTCTTTGTATTGGCCGGTGTTCTCACTGTGCTATGAGATGATGTAATAAATAAATAAATAAATAAATAAATAAAAACATGTAGTCGGGTACCCGTGCTACCCGTGAGGGCCTCGGGTAGACGGGTACAGAATAGTACCCGAAAAGTCGCAGATGACATCATGTACAGTGCACGTGTACAAATTCATGTAATACTCCGCATGTCTACCCGGTGTGTAAGGGAAGGGGTGCATTGTGGTGTTACCATGGAAACACTGCCTGATCGGCTACCCGTGCTACCCGAACCCGATACCCGTAGAAAATGCTACCCGACTCAGCCCTACTTTCAACCTCACAAATAACGACACTTTTCTCATACATGATCGAAGGTCGTTATTCGCAAGGTTGACTGTACCCGTATGTGCATGTGCATGTACATGTAATTCAGATATGGATGTGTACCAGATGAACATTGCTGCTTTCTTTGTTGTTTTGAACTGAGAACCACATCCAATCGGGGCTTTTTGCATTGTGAATGGCACTCGTACAGGCTGACAAGTCCGTTACTGTATTTAGAAACACACTGTATTCAGTATATTGGCAACGTTGTGTGTTTCTTCTACCGCAGTCCCATGCTTACCCTTAGGCTACTAGACCAGTAGTAGTAGTCTCTTTTTCCTTCCACAGGATATGGCAATCATTGACTTGTGCCAGTGCTTTTCTGGCCAAATTGCTGGTTGGTATTTTCGTGACTGCCTACTTATCATGTACTCATATGCGCTATATTGTTGTTGTTGTGCAGTTGCTCTCTCCAACGCAACCAGTGCGGGAAAGTATGATGAAGTTGACAAGTTTCCGAGCAGGTGAGACTCTACTGCACTCTACAATTCCTGTTCGCAGTCCGATGTTCACAAAGCGCCGTCTTCCTGCCAATGAAATCCGCCAGATCACGTTGTTGTCCATGGCTTCGCATCAGTCTAGCTAGCATGTTGGTGTACTGGATGATGGGCATTTACTCAGTGTCTTTCCGGTACCCGATCCACTGGGAGAACTACGTGTCGTTATTTGTGTTATTGTGGTTCTCTCTGTTCCCACAACTTCGCATTGTGTGAACGGCACTGCACTTTGCGTGCATCGAGCACTATTGCAGCGCCAGGGTCCAGCGTCCCTTTGCGTTCAGTGCACCGTATATTTGAATATCCTGAATCCTAGGTGCAATGCTGCTTCAAGGTGGACTGTCATGATTTCCCTGATGGCTTCATTTTGTGAACGTTTCCTTGTGTGCCTGGTTCAGCATGCCTCTCACGGGTTTGTGCGAGTCTGTGCTGTGACAACTAGACCTCTGTTGCCACTCATTGTGTTGTCATCTTGCAATGTTACCCTCAGGCTGTTCAAACTTCTGTTGGACATCTTCGGCGAAGGCAGAGTTGCACGCAACCCTACTGGTGACGGCATGTTGGTGACCGTTGACTCACACGAAGCAGTGATCTCCCTCAAAGACCTGGTAAGATGGGTTGAGTGTGTCCGTGGCTTACGCTTGTACACACATGCTGCCAGCGCTTTGGCCGAGTGGTCGTGGGCTTGCCTGCGAATCACGAGGCGCCAGGTTGGAGACCCAGTGGCGGGTTTAGGGGGGGGGGGGGGGGGGGCGCGGGGGGCGCGCGCCCCCCCCCCTCAAAAATTTCGACCTAGGTTTCGAAAAATAATAGGCAGGGCGCTAGGGCGCCGGGTCGATCGAGCTAGACTCGTTCGGGGCGCGCGCGGCCTGAAACGATTGTCCAAAAGCGGTTGCACGGTCGAGCTGGTGTTGATTGTACACACTACAGACTAGTAGTACAGTACAGTCTACAGAGTAGAGTCTACGTACAGTGAGCATGCACGGCGCGGCTACAGAAACATGGTGACCTGACTGTGTACTATTGTACAGTGTGATCCCTGCTGGGACGCGCTCGACGCGTCTTCAACGGTACAAACATCGAAGAAAAGTCTTCGAACGAGTCAACCAAAACACGATTCGAATGCCGAGGGCTCAGGCGATCATCCTTGTTCGAATCGTGTTTTGGTTGACTCGAAGGCTTTTCTTCGATGTCTCAGGGACATCCCAAAAGGCCAAGCTCTAGCCAGCAGAGCCTGGAATTTTTGTAAAGCGTTCCTGTGGCGGCGCAACTCCTGCTGCCGCTCCAACAGCAAACAGTGGGAGTGATGAAGTCGCTGTTATTCCAGTTGAACTTTCGGAGCGGACTGACAGTCACACTCCGCCAGACGCGGAAGAATCTGTTGTCAGCGAGTAGCCAGAACATGAAGAACAGCGCACAGTGACAAGTACCGCTGCCTATGTAAAGGATGCTTTGACTCTTTGAGAGCGGTGAGAAATTGTTGGACTCGCATAAATAATTGCAGTTGATTCGCTCACCTAACGGCAAATTTGAAGTTTACAATGTACATTGTTGCTGCGTGTACAGAAATACTGCTCGTGGTGTGTGAGATTTACGGCTTGTTGTTGTTGTTTATTTTACTTCACCAAATGAGCAGGCAGAGATGCCTTCTCACCTGCCCATAGGACAGGTTCTCACAGAATGATGAAGGGCTGATATGCAAGGGAAAACAAGAAATGATAATAATAATAATTATAAGACAGAAAGGACCAAAAGAAGAAAAGGAAAAATTTATATGAAGACAATTTCATGGAGTCAGAAATAGAAAGACAATAATTTCATGGAGTCAAAGAATAGAAAGACAATCTCATGGAGTCAGGAACACGTCGTTGATTTTATAGACATGCATGCACAAATGTGATAGATGAGAAGGTTGGAATTTATGGCAGATAATAAAAGTTTAACGAGGATATTCACAAAGTAAGCCAGTATATCAATCGCAGAAAGAGCTTTTCGGAAGGGACCAGGGACACGTATCACTCTAAAATCAGAGGGGAGAGCGTTCCAGAGAATGCTTCCCCGAAACATCATGGTCAATCGTCCCGCAGGCCCACGAAGGAAGGGAACTTGAAGCAAGTTCGACACTTGTCCCCGTGTGGTGCGCTGATCCTCCGGAACAGTCTCTGGGGCCGTTCGGGTGAATAACTGTTGAAGAAGGGGGCTACAGGAGGAGCTTCTTGACATCGGTTTTCAAAATGGCTGACCTGGGACAGTAGCATGATGTCATCTACCCCCACCCCATCCCGCCTTGATCCCGGCCGCAACCCCCCCTCAGCCAAATCCTGGACACGCCACTGAGACCCTCTGGCAGCTTGGAGTTTGTACTGTGCTAACAACTGCGGTGACGCACGCTTTATGTAGTTTTTTTTGCGCTGACATGCACAGTCAACTGGTTACTCACTATGCAGAGTGAGGGCAACATGCATACAGCTACCGGTAACTAGCTTTCTCCGCCTGGTGAGCACTTGGTTGTGAGACTTCACGCCGCGCTCTCGCCACTATGCGCTGCATCTGCCAGCCAGGTATGATCAGATGTGGTGGTGGCCTGGCACGTGTGAACACCCTATGGTGGTTGTCTTTCCAAGTATATAACCGGTAGTAACGTGGATGTGCGAACTTTACCTTTTGTTACACTCTACTTCGGAAATATACTGTGCTTCTGATCCTGGACAGTACACGCTAGGTGATGAGCATGTACAGTGTACGTAGTGTTGCTGCTGGGGTCGGGACGGTCAGTTGTACCCAGTGTCTTTCTCTCTTGAGTGTCTGGTTTTTGTATTCTTTCTGTGAGATGCGACTGTGGGCTCTGATAAAGTAGAACCATGTACTCCTACTGATAGAGATGGTTCGTGCAACGTTCCCCTGCTGCAACGTCGACGTCAAAATCCACTTTCATACATGATTGTTTAGGCCCTCATCAGACTACGTACATAGAACATTCAGTACAAAATCACATACCGGTAAAACCTAAAAGGCAACATTTTTCCACGCCTGCATTCAGACTACACATTTTACATGCAATATACAGGCAACCTTTGACCCTACGTAATTGCGCAATCGGCCTGGGATGTGTGAAAGCAGCGGACAGTCGTACCCAGGTACAAAGTGTGTACGACTGCCAGGTGAAAGTACGATAAATGCAGGAAAGTTGCCTTGTACAAGGGTTCACACCCTGCCTGAAAGGATTGGGCAGCTTTTTAGGCTTCCCGCCAGATTCTTGTTGTTGTCTTGGAAACTTCTATATAAATGTGACTTATAGGCTGTTTTGTACCTAGTCTGAAAAGGGCCTTACGGCTCCCATTCGAACGCCATCTGAACACGAAATCTCGCATTACGCCAAAAAACATCTGACGAAACCTCTCTATTGTTGACGTGCCGCATCCGTATGTTTGCTACAGAAGCATACACCGGCGGCATGCTGGCTGACTTTTGCTATGTTTGTGCTCGCCACTCTCCTGTGTCTTTCCTGCAGTCCGTAGATTGTGCAGACGAGGCTCTAGCACAGCAGGTTCAAGGCGTTGTCCGCCGTCTGCACACTGCACTGCACCCTTGCAAGGCAGCATCCAAGGCGGAGATCCCAGAAGTGAAGGCGGAATGAGCTGCTCACAAGCAATATCGGTCAGATATTCTGAAATTGAACATTTTTGTTTTGATTTTAGATTTTGATTATTTTCAATCAATGTGCCCGTCACTCATGGCTGTTGTCTTGATGATTTTCTCGTGTAAATATGTTCTGTAAATACGGTACGCCATCGTGTCGACCATTGTACAAAGATTCTATTTTATGTACAGCTTCTTTCATTTCTGCTTCTTTATATGGGCTCTGGCATCACATGTTCAACTACTGTCAATGGGTTTCCTCTACCCCATGCAGCCTGTTTTTTAATTTATTTTCAGCTGCACTGCACGACTTTTCCTCTCCTGTTATGTGTCATACTACATAGCAGTCATACAATTATAAAACTAGTCTGTGAATGTGTGATGTAATGTTTTGTGCACTGGTGTAGTGCCTGTTTGCAAGGACATGTCTGGCAATCTGGCATTGCCATCATTGACGCTGCTGTGTCTTCTGATTGTGTGTTGGTGTGGCCACTGCTGTGCGGGAATGAGACTACAGTGTTGCTTGCATGCAGTGAGGGAGGCAGTTTTCCAGGGGTTGCACTCATGTGCTCTGTGCACACTACCGGTATGCAGTGTAACAATTACATTACTGTCCAGGGGTTGGGGATCCGGGCCAGGGATGCCCTACTTGTGATGTGATGTAGCACATGTGGCAGTGATCATGTGTGTGGTTGGGGTTGGGAATGGCATGCCCTACGAAAATCATGTGCTGAACGTGTGTCTCTGTGTTGGTCCTGCTCCTGATGAAAGAGAGAATTTCATTACTACACTACACTACACGTAGTCGTACACTGCAGCAGTACTTGCCATTGTGCTGTTATCCTTTTGTCATCAACAATGTACATGTACTCCATATCTTGTATATTAATTAAGTTTGGATGTTGTTCTACCCGTTTGTACCACTGCTGCACAGCCATGAATGAGCACTACTGCCACTTTCGTGATGGAATCCCGGCTCTGCTGCATGCCGTGCAGTACATGAGCTGTTGATCAGCAGTAACAGTGCAAAGAACAGTGTCACCCCTGGCCCACACACGGCTGGTGCCTTTCCTGTATTTGTAATGGTCCTTATAGTGGAATTATAGTGCATTTTAGCAGTACAGTTTGCTAACTTTCTTTGTAGTGTAATATCAAGAACACATAAACCATTTATGTAGGAGTCGTACGTACCCTTGCTAATAATTCTGGTTTCAGCTGTATTATGGAACTGCACTTGCTGAAAGTGAGCAGCCAACCAACAGAACAAAAGGGGGGGGGGGGTGGCAAAAAAGTGGCGCTCGGAAGGCCGAATCGAACGGCTGTGGCGTTAACCACCTACAGGTTTGAAGCCTGCACCCCACACCAGTGAAGCTCATCCGAGCAATCCTTCAGTGGCCGCATTTACCTTATAAACCCAGCAACGGCACTCTAGTGTGTGTAGTCACAACACTGTGCACCATTGTGGTTTGGCATAAGTAGATGTTGTGACATCTTCTCAGATGCGGCTACCACACTGTGGTGCATTGACCACCAATGTCTCCCCTTACTGGCCTTAGGCCATTCTGCCGGGCAAATGCCCGCAGCGCCATGGAAACCAGGTATGCTCAGATGTTGTAGGAGGTGAAATGCTGTTTTCTCTGTTCTAGGTTGTTCTCTAGCATGCATAGGCGTGGGAAATAGCCCTTTCCCAAGGTGCTCGCCCTTTTTTCACCCTTTTTGGCCCTTTTTGGAAAAGCCCGTTTCTTCGCCCTTTATTGTGTTTTTTTTGTGAAAAAGTGCTAAAATCTGTTTGTTCATGCATGCGATCACAGTTTCCGAGTGCTCGATGGGCCTTGGCACGCCGCTTTTTAGGGGGCAACAAGTTGGTGAAGCTTGTACACAATGCTGTAAAAGTGGGTTTTTTGAACTTTACTTCCTGTTTTGCCTTTCGTGGACCCATAAATGGAAGAGTGCGTATTCATTTCTCAGCTGGGGTTCATATCTGAACATGGATCATGGCTATCAGGGAGTCGTAAAATGGAGTCGTAAAATGGTTTCATCATGCATTCATCAAGAAGGATTATGTATGATTTCTAAAAATAAAAAAAAGTTACTTAATTCTGCCCGTACAAGAGGCCGGTTTACCAAGTTAAAAAAAAAAAAAAAAAAAAAAAATTTACGACTCCCTGATGGCTATGCTTCACTGTAAAAAGAGCACTTTTTGCCTGTTTTCACCAGGGAGTAGTGGTACTGTACTACTCCCTGGTTTTCACTGAAAAAAGAGCACTTTTTCAGCATATTTTGAGGGGCGCGAAAAGCACTAAGTGCGAATTAAAAAGCACCTTTGGGAAAGGGCTACCCAGAAATGATATGTGCATGGGGATACCTCTGCATTTTATTGCTTATATGGGGACTCGAAGTTCAGAAAATCGCATTTTTCGTACTTTCAAGTGGCCATACGTACAACAAAATGCATAAATATCCCCCATAATTATGAATATCATTTCTGTGTGTATGCATGCTAGAGAACAACTTAGAATACGAGAAAACAGCACTTATTCTGTTAACGCCTGGCTGTCTTTTGCACGTTCGGAACTCGGGGAGTGGTTTTAACAATGCAGTGGGAATAGATGGAGTTGGCATAACTTGTAATAGAGACAGTTCTTTACTTCTTCGGAGATCATATTTACAACACCCACATCACCACATACCACACCTCACAGGTAACTCATACCCACACCATGCAGTATGGCTAATGTGTGAGAGGCGGTGTGCGAGAGTGTCAGGGAGTGTGTTTGGCGAGTGTGTTAGGTGAGTGTACATGTAGGAGTGTAGGAGTGTGAGAGTGTATGATGTAGATACACATCAACACTGCGGGTCTCATCTTGCAGTGCTTGCTGTGACATCCATACCCACCACTGAGCCATTGTGTGCAGCTGGCGACAGGATGAAATCCAATCCTAATTGCTGATTATAATACTGGTGCCGATTATCTGAATAGCACACAGTAGGTGAGCATTGCACGCAGTCATGCCTTTGCAGTTGCTTTAATGTGGTCAGTAGCTTGCTGGGCTCATGTATGCAAACACTGCTTGTTATCCATACTGTTATGATCATTATATCCAGTGCCACTAGCAGAATGTCCCAAGTAGTGAAAGCAAAAGGCACCAGAAGAGTGTCACGTACACTGGGCCAGCATAGACCTGCATTCTAGGAGTGTGCGGCTTGAACCCTAACCTGTCCCTGGAGATTGATTTTCGCCTGCACTGATCATATTCCGATTATCTTGGGTTATCAATTTTAGTGAGTGTGGCATAACATTGGGATGCAACACCATACTTCACACCACTGATTTTCGGCTTGGTAATCATTAGTCATGGAGTAGCTTTCAGGACAGGGCAACGTGCTACCAACTACTCTATAAAAGAGCCTCTTTGGATGCACCGAACAGCCTCCAGCGCATCTGCTGCTGCGGATGCTAATCATACCCCCAAAAAATAACGCACACGTGTAACTACATACTCTAATGTACATGTACATGTAGGTGTCTCGTATGCTGCAGCATTTGAAGGGTACAGCCACACTGAATATCATCACTGTGCTAACGTTAGGAGTACATGTATATGTACCCAATATCCTCATTAAAATGTAGCCTGGGCTTGAGTTGGGGAATTAGTTGACCAGGACACATGCTGTGACTCATGTCCCTGTACATTATTTATGATGGCATGCTATGCTATGCAACCCTGCTGCTTTTTTATGCCAGCTAAAGTATGCCAGTCAGCTTATTTTTAGTCCTGCTTTCTTGTGTCATGTTTGGTCAATAGCCGACTTCATAATTACTCAGTACCCATGCTGGTATATGTATGTGGATGTGCAGAGTGGAAGGTGGAGTGACTTGCTTGCTTCCCCATCGCAATGCCCGAGTATATACATGTACAGCACGTCAGTGTCAGCACGTACTAACTTGATGACATCCTGCTTGTCAGCAACACTAACTTCAAAAACTTCAAACATGAAACCATCCACACACCGGTAGGCCCGGAATATCACCAAAATTAATATCAATCAATTTTTTTCTTCACACCGTTTTCCCTTGTCCATTCCCTCAACCAGTGAATATCACCAAACCAAGGGATTTCGGAATTGCCCTGTGTGATACTGTCATACAGTAGCCGGTTTGGGGCTCCAAACTCTGCTCACCGTCAGTGGGATAAATTTCCTCTTGGCAATGGCGTATGATGCTTGAGGGCACAATAAACTCACTGTTGTTCACTACCATATACCTACATGGAGCACTTGTGAGGTATTTAGACTCTCTGAATCCCTACTAAATGAAGTAGTATAGTATATTATGGTGGCTGCATTCCTAGCTGAGTTCACATGTATTCTTATGTTCAGTTCTTGTTGTAACACCAGTACTCACCTTTTAACTCGAGGAGCTTGAAGGGGATGCTGTCAGAAGTAACACTTTAGTTGAGCCTGATCAGCTTGTTTGGGGGCATTCTGCTCCTGCACGTAGTATGCCTTTGCTGGTGTGCGCACCGCTCCATGCTCCGCGGCATTTATACACCACCTTGTGTGACGTTTCCGGAGTGGAGGGCAAGGGGGAAGAGACTTGAAGATTGTCAACACTCTTCCGACCCGGGTCCTGGGAAACAGCCATGTTAGGTAGATTTTGTGTTCACACGTGTGTGGTGCTGCTGAAGCGTGCAGTCCAATGCCATCAAGGTCTGCATTCCACTGTCTGACGGTGACGCTACAGTCTGTAGTCTCTTCAAGCTCCATGTGAATGTGATGATCATGTGTATTGTGCAGCATGCACACAGTGATGATGTAGGCAATGCTGTGAATCATGGATCTAGCCTGAATGTATGTATTGTACACGTGACGTACAGTACAGGTACATGACTGTACTCATACTCATCATGAGCCCACAGCCTAGGCAGAGTATGCAGGAATCAGGAGCACCATGGATCGCAGATGCACAGTGCTATGCTGCATAAGTCAAGTGGGGTAGCAAACCTCAAAGCTTCACCCATTGGCATTGCGCACGTGCCATCGGAACAGTCATACCATAGCCTCGCTCAGCATGCGGACAGTGGTCAGTCTCATAGTCATACTGCTAAGATGACCAAGCACACTCACAACATAGCGACCACCCGATTATACCCCAGTCGTCGAGATGACTTGATCAGTACGCAACGTCCTGATCACGCAAGCATTGCAGACCATTACCCGAGTCACAAGAGGAAGAAGTGATATACCACCACAGGACGGCTGCTGGTGATACTCTTCGGTGTTGAGCTGCCCAGAGAACAGTTGAAGATTTGATTCCTGGTTACAGGCTAGCCAGGTTTGAGAGCCATTGAGCCGGAGCGCTTAGTTCAGTTACCGCGGGGTGCGACAGGTGACTTACTTGCAACCGCTGCAGGCCAAGACAATTCAGGGAACAAAGGTTTGCACGCCAAGGTTCAATCGAACGCCATCGACTCCAGAATTCGGTCACACGCATTCCATGGTAGAACGTGCAAGAAAGCTGCCTATGCTCACTCATTCCCTGCTGCTCACAGCTAGCTCCGATGTAACAACAATCGGATTAGCCGAGTGAGTGTGTCGCATTTTCAGGAGATTCTACAGCTAGAAAAGAGAGGGTCTTAGGAGAGTTCTAATCAGATCTTCGCGGCTGCACTGGACGCACTTTGTATCCATTGTGTTGGACAATCGGCACGCTGTGAAACTACTTGCAATATACAAGTTCCCGCGAGGACACAGGAAGAAAGCTATCCTAGTAGATCTACTTCCTAGCTGGGCCAAGCACCAGGTTGACCTCTGCAAAGACCTGCTCGCTACACGAGGAACGCCGGTGAGCTGGATATAACTCTGTTACCATCAGTATCTGTGTTCAGTGTTACAAGTTCATCCGGGAACGACCACACGATCGAAACACCCGTGACTTCGCACTTCCTCACTGGTCAAGTCTGCAAGCAGCAACAGGCTAGCTACGCGATAGGATAACCTCACGTGCATATAGCCGGCGTATGTGCCAGACGTGTGAAGGCAGTTTCACCTTGCACCGGACAGCTACCAACACTACAGGATACCTAGTGCCTCTACTCCGCTCTAGACCTCGCACGTGCTGAGAAGAAAGCAGAAGACCAGGGAGCTATTTGGAAAGGTATCCACTCTCATTCCAAACGCTGCAGGAGCCAGTTGGAGCCCATACCCGCTCAACAGGCGTGGAAAGGAAGAAAGTGAACAACGCGGAGCCGGAAGTTCATCGACCGATATATCCTACATCAAAGAAGAAGATGGCAAACGTGGGATTTACCTGGATTGCAGCGATATTGGTGCTGGCATGCGCGAGGCGATCAGAGCAGAGGTTAGTGATTGTTATTCTCACTGCCACTAGGATAGGATTCACCCTAAATATACTGTCACGCTCGTGTGACTATTCCCCATGCACAGTCTTTGCGAGTGGGCACTCATCTTGATATTGTGAATAGCGCCATCAGTTTGCCATGGTCCAATAACCGTACAGCAATAACTAGATCATTACATCGACCCGTAGTCTAATCACACAATGCATACACATGTGCATCTAGTATACCGGTATCCAATAATATGAAATGAAGTGCAGCACTATGACACACAAAAAGGCACGAAAGTTGCGGCAAACTCTTAGGCCTCCTCTGTGCCTTTGTGTATACTATGAAATGAGAACTCAATGCTGGAGAAAGTGAACTATTTGCGCCAATGCCGATGGTTCGTCAGTCAGAATTAGGCATCGGCGGCTAATGCTCGTTTTTTCACAGTATAATACTTTTGGCAGTGCTCGATATTTCACGGCATAATGCCTGTTATAATGCTCCATTCACACTATAATGCTAGAGTGATATGTACATTTTCGAGCTATCTTGAGCAAATATGCACATGGAAAAGAAATGTATCCACAATTGGCTCATACTGAGATAAGGAAGTGTAGTTGTATATGCATGACCACACGAAAACACGCAACTGTGGGAAGAGCGACGCAAGAGTGTCGGTACACTGTCTGTACAAGCCTCTTGTCATGTGAAAAGACGTGTAAAAAGTCTTGTATTGTACCAAAATAGAACTGATAATGCTTTCTCCAGCCAAAAACATGCCACCTAATGCCGAGCACTGCTACTTCTTCAAAACACCCATAATGCTAGTTATAATGCTAGCATTAGCCGCCGATGCCTAGTCAGAATGCAACTTTGGGCATATAAATACACTGAACAGGTAGCAGCCATAGAGACAGTGGCCACAAAGATACAGTTGAGAGATTGCCTCCGACTGTCGTTCTGAAATCATTACATGACGGGAAAATAGAAAATTGGTGCATCTGCCTTCCATGTCTTCTGCAAGGCGGTCAAAACGTCTCCAGTAGATGGAAAAAATTCTACTATTGTTTCGCTCAGAATTGGTTCATTAAATGTTCCGTTCTGTAATGTGGTGCGGGAACTAGCCTAATACAACATGATTCGATAAACTTCCACTCCACATGTTGGGTTGAGTACAGCCTTATGAGAAAACAGATCTAACGTTCGGCTATGATGAGTACTGGATGGGACGTGTTAGGGAATGCATGTTGCGGCCTCGAGGACGCGGGGAGGAGCGTAGTGTTCTTGAAGGTTTCCTGATCTTCCTTCGCCATTATCGGGTTCTGAGAATGAAAGAATTTTTTAAGGTGAGGCAAGCTCAAGTCCCTGCACTTGAAGAGAACGTCAGCTTGAGCAAAAGACTGAGCACGTTTCGCTGCAATGGTACCTTACCCCACAGGAAAACGCTCACGGATAGCAAGGTTAGACTGTCGCTCACCGTAGTATGTCCACAGTGGATGGCGTTCTGTCATTTGTCAAAGCAGTGCTTTCACTTCTGAAGTACAGGCACTATATCTTGGTATTGGGAGTGCTGCGTGTTTTGCGTGTTTTCGTTGCGGGTGCAATGGTGCTAACAAAAGTACAACTCTTCCTTGTCAGTTTAGAATGGGCTTGTGACAAAGTGAAAGTAGAAATAGTGTCTTTGTGTGCGGCATTCTCTTTCTGGAAGGTTCCGTGGCCCGGTCAGGCAGAGTACGGTCTAGTTTTGCAACACCCGCTCTTACGCGGCTGCGAATACTTCGAAATATGTGTAAAATGTGCATTACCTGATGGAGCAGTTTGCTGAAGACGTCTTCATGACCTTGGTAGGTCTTGATATTCAGAATGGTTATACTATGTAGGGTAACAGATAGGAGATACTGCAACATAGGCTAATGCTGTATCACGGGGTTCCGATCAGAGTGGAAAGAATCGAGCAGCCATGTATGTGTGTGTGTGTTGGGGGGGGGGGGGGGGTTGAGTGGTTCCACTGGGAGATGGGGTTAAAACTTGCCCAAGTCAGTTGTACAATGTATGTTATGAGCATACTCGTACAGAAAACTTTGCCGTGCCAAGTTTTAGCTTGAGGAGGAAGCACTCGACAGTTACACATACGTGTACATCTACATGGGCAAAAACTACCCGATAATGATGTAAACAGCAGAGTTTCCAACTGGAATTCAAGTATACCCCTGTCATCAAGCCCCTAATGACTGCAATCAGAATGTGTTTTCCTGGACACTGCCATGTTAAGACAAGGCACTTGGACGTTTGTGTGGCTTTATTCCCTGACCTGATCTTCACAACATCAGTGTTTGTGTGCTGGAGCCAGTCAACCTAAGTGCTCACAAGTTCACAAGTGTTTAGGACCAGGCAGCTGCCATTCCTGAACCTAGCTCCCCTGTGCTACTGGGACTGGAGCAGATTTGTGCAAGACCTCTGCTCATCTTATGCGTTCTGTCCATTGTTCCATGTGGGGGGACAGCATCTTTGATGCGAAACCCGGTCTGTGCGCCTTGCTTTGTGAGCTTTGTCGGCATCAGTGCGATGCTTTGTAGTTGGAAGAGAAATCGTGGCACGGGGTATCTTCCAGATCACTCTGCAGGTTTGCTTGACGCCAGAGTGCAGTGCAAAGACAATGCATCACACCGCTGGTCATCTGGCAATAGCATGGTATTCACACAGTACAATGTGTGGGCATATTGCACTATCCTGTAAAGGAAGTTCGCACAGCGGGTGGTAATGCCTATGGCGGGAACGGTTGCCACTCCATCACATGGTGCTCTGGCTCTTAGCGGCATTTCTGGCTTTTTAAGGCCAGCATCAACCATTGCCATACCAGTACAGCTCTAGGTAGGGAATGTTCGCAAGCAATAACTGATCTCTCAGCCCAGTTTTCACATGTACTGCGTAGCCTACAGTACATACATTTTGGCGCAGGTGTATGCACAGTCACTCAGTGCTGGGACCCCACATGCTAACTTAACGTGGCCTAGACATGCAGAGTGGCGTCCCTTCTTATTTCTGCTCCTGACCGACCAGACTAAACAAAGGCCCACGGTTCTGTGGTATTCTAATATGCTAGCAAGGTGTCACATCCATGATCCACACAAGCAGAAGTATCAACAGCATCCCGTTTTGGCTATGCCTTCTGGAGTGCGAGTGTCTCACTGCAGTCAATCATCAAGGGTGATAATTAGATTTTCGTGGACAGCACTTCAGCTGGGTCAAAACACAACTAATTACTTACTTGTCTGCTCTTGCAGTGTTTGTACTGGGGCCCATGGCCCAGTGTGGGACTTGCCGCTCTGTGTACCGTGACTACAGGTTTCCGGCATACCACATGTGCATGCATTACTACTATACAGTAGTAGTAATGCATGCCCTTACTGGTTTGTTGTCTGGGGATTGACACTGCTAATATGCATTCTGTTGGTCTTGTATTGTAATCGTGCGTCTATTGGTGGCAGTCAGGGGGTAAACAAAGCTTCATCAGTCCGAGCACCACTCTCTCCTGTATATTTATGTCCATCTGCCTATGCCTCCTGGCTGTGGCCGGGAGGTTTGCTTGGAGAGCACCTCACCCTATGGCTGAGATGTTCATGGCGGTCTTAGATCCTGCAGTTCAGCCGTTGGCATTGATTCGAATGCGTCTTTCCCCTGGACCCAAAGTACATACTGCACTCTTAGTATACTTTAGAGGAGAATTGCCGCTCCTTTTCTAGTTGTTTCAACTGAGTTGCTTTTGGAAACTTGGACCAGGGCCCATGCGCCCAGGGTGCACTGCCAGCAAAGCATCTAGCCTGGAAGGGTCCCTTGCAGCAAAACTGTCTCAGTACTCACTGGAAGCTGTTCACAGAAATATCCTGGTGTATCCATGATCTTATGCTGCTTGCACTTTGCTAAGAATTTGTGTCTTGATTGCGCACAAGTCAGAGTTCAAGAGTAGGCATGGCCAATTTAGAACAATGAGCTTGCACTGTTTTCAATGCAATTCCCTGGGCTCCACTGAATTGTTTCAATTGTGGCTACTAAATCTGTTATGATGGGTGTTGTAGTCTTTAAGCTAAGCGGCAATTAACTTGTGTTGAGTTGTGGAATGATTAGTTGTACGTCAGTAACTTGTTGTCAATAAAAAAAGAGATAATCTATTCCTCCAGCTGACATAGTGAATTGAGAGTGCCACTGGAGCTACATGATCATAATCCCTGTACTTACTGCATCTATACTCTGCTATCTGCTGTATTTCTGCATGGCAGTGTCTGGATGACTGGAATATCGATCAGCTCAAAGACCCTGGATCCGCTAGAGGGTGCACTGCAGAAGACATGCAGCTCCATTGCTGGTTTGACGCACCGTCAGCGCATGTTCTGCTTGACTCGATCGGAGCTGATGGATCCCATCGACCAAGGCAAGATACTGTGTTCACTGACATAGAGTAGGACCTGATAAGCTAGCAGTGGACCATGCTTCAACATTTAAAAAAATTCGCCTATTGAGTTTTCGGATCTCAAATCACACAACACCCTGTTTTCCGGAATTCTACTCGAGTCACAAGCTGTTCTTCTGCCATGGTGAATTTGATACCCTCCGTGTTGAACGGGACACTGAAATTTGCTGGATCACAACTACAATACATCTGAGTTCACTAGGCACTTTACTGTGATTTTTTAATTTTTCAAGTGAATTAGCTCAGATGGTCTTTCTGTCATAACACCCACGATCCTGCTTCATCTATACAGTCCACGCCCTCATGAGATTTGCCTTTTCACATTGCCATACCTGCAGGAGCCAATCTTGGTCGGCTGGAGTGCAGCAGGAGAATGAGTAAGAAGCGATGGAACTGCCCTAGCGACGACTCTGTACTGCTCAAGGCTGCTCTTGTCAAAGGTAAACAAGGGAGTGTAGATTAGTATGCTGATTGATATGCCTAACCTGCCATGATGTAACCGGAGTTGAGAGTAACAAGCCTAGTAATATTATCCACAAGTATATCATAATAATTATATGCATGTTAGAAGTGCATCTGCCTGCAATGGAACAGCATGGAACTCAACTACATGTAAATTATTTAATCACTTGTGGCGCATGCATGGCTTCATACATGAGCAGTGGCCAGCTTCATACAGAAGCAGTGGCCAAGGCGGCCTCTTTGTCCTTCAGACGTCTAGAACCTATGTCGCTACCCAGGATGATGGGACACTTCCAGAGAGTAATAGTACACTTTGATTTACCGGCTATGCATGCCTGTATCGTGTGTGTGTGTGTGTGTGCGTGTGCGCGTGTGTGTGTGTGTGTGTGTGTGTGTGTGTGTGTGTGTGTGTGTGTGTGTGTGTGTGTGTGTGTGTTTGTATCTGTGTGCTGCCTATGCACTAGGGTACCGAGAGTCGGCCTTTCTGCAGGCAATCCAGTCCAGTGGCGTAGTACAGGCAGTTGCCCGGGTCTGCAGCTCTGGCAAGGTCAGTAATATCATAGTTACTGTATCAACTTACCAAATCATATTATGACTTGGTAAGTTGATTATTATGCAAACTTGTAAAGTGATATAAGACTTTAGAATATGCAACGTAACTACAAGCGCATCTATCTCTAGCCGTCTGAAGTCTGCTTGAAGAGTTGTAAGATTACAAGCAGTCACTCTGTTGTCTATTCCCTGGCAGTGATGGGTATAGTTACCATTCACTGAGCTTTGTGGTGTCTGATGACATGGCGTGTGTGGTATTTCTCTTCAAATGCCTGCAGGCTGAAAAGCACTGCGGATGCGACAGCTCTTTCAAGCAGTATGGCCGAGAACAGCACGAGAAGTTCCAGCAGCGGAGCAGTCGTATCCGTGCCGAGGCTGAGAGCTCCAGCCCAGGGGGCAGTGGCGAGGTCAACCTCGACTTGGACGGGGATATCATCAACTCTGTACCACTGACCGAGGATGACCAGTCCTGGGTGTGGGGAGGCTGCGGAGACAACTGGGAAGCAGGTAGGACGATAGGAAACATGGATCCAATACTGCATACCCTTTCCACATAATTGGCTTTTAAATTCATACAGCTAGAATTACAGTGACACTAGGGCGTAGGCAATTATTTGCACGTGTAACAAGAGCAATCCCTGTCCTTGGTAACTCTTCTTCAGGGCTCAGTACTGTTCTGAAAACAGAATGGACCTAACCTTGAACCATTTTGTTCCTGTCGGCTGTCCTGTAGGAATGCGTTTTGCCGCAGAGTTCCTCGACACTGGCGCGGTTCTTAACCGCTCGAAAGTGGACAAGCACGGCGGGATGTTTGGGAAGTCGCCGCTGGTGAATCGCATGGCGTTGCACAACAACAAGGCTGGTCGATTGGTAAGTAGGTGTGATGAACTACCGGCATGCTGACATGTTCTTTGAAGACCAGATCAAATTGCAAATGTGAATCTCAATGGATGTCGGGGTGTCGGGGGGGGGGGGGGGGAGGTAGTTGCGTGTTGGGGGGATTATCACATCATGGTTGCATTGGTGGGAAACGGTTTGGGACTGTCCTTACAATACTATCATATGTACTTGTGCTGTCTGTGCAGGCCGTGAAGCGACTGCTGGACATCCGATGCCGCTGTATGGGTCTGAGCGGCTCGTGCAGTGAGAAAGTGTGTTGGAGAGTGCTACCAAGCATACAGAGAGTTGGAGACAGACTGCAAAAGAAATTCACAGCAGCTGTGAAGGTAGGCAGGGTCAATAGCTGCTAAGGTGCACACTTCTGCATAAATTCGAGGACTTCATCTGATGCATTCCTAGTACTCTCTCCGAGGAACTGCCAATGGGTCCTTTTTTTGGCAGGAACTGGATCCCCCCGCCCCCTCCTATCCCCCCCCCCCCCTGAGAATGCAGCATTTTCTGTCACCATTATGAAGTAACACAAAAATTAATAATACATTGCAGAACATACAAGGTCCCCTTTATCCCCTAAGTACTTGAAAACCACCACCAGCACAACCACCAGCACAACCACCATTACTATCATGGCAGGTTTGCTCATTGAACTAATGATTGGTCATGTCCTTTCAAATTTTCTTTCCTTCTGTGGGAGTGTAGGTTCGCATGGCTCCACGATCTCGCACCGGTCTCGCTATGGTCATGGATGCAGCCATTGGTGAAGAGAGCCGTGACGTAAAGCCACCCTCAAAGGATCTGGTGTTCAGTGAAACATCGCCGTCGTTCTGCATCCATGATCAGCTGAAGGCATCGCCTGGCACAACGGGACGCAAGTGCAAGCCGTTATCACCGGGCGACGATAGCTGTCAGCACCTATGCTGTGGCAGAGGGTAAGTACCGGCATGTATAGCGGCGACCGCCTCTCTATAATCACATCCTGCGATATTACGCATGATGCAATAGCCATTATGCCTCTTTGCATCTTGTGATATTACGCATGATGCAATAGTCATGATGTTGTGACCCTCTGTTGGTGGTGCTAGGATACTGACAGACCATCAAGAAGTCACGCAACCACTCGACTCACCTACCGTATTTCCCCGAGTAAAAGTCGCACTTTTTTTGTACTAAACTGAAGGCCAACAAAGGGGTGCGACTTACAATCGAGCATAACTCACTAATGAAGTGGATATATGGAAATGATTTGACAAACATAAAGATGACGGGCTGGACTTACAATTGAATGCGACATACTATTGAGGAAATACGGCACGTTGACTTCTAATGTGCACATTTCCCAAACCATCACCATCTGATCTACACTTTTAGAATAGGCTTGGCAAGAACACACAGGTTCCCCGGAGAGACATATTTGTCTAAAATCAGGAGGGTAGATCATGGCCTTCATCATGTTGACATGCCTTGGACCTGGGGTACGTTGGCATGTGAATGTTGTGTTGACATCTCAAGAATGATACACTACTACAGGAGTACTTTGAAGTGGTGTATGGAATCTGCATACGAAGGTGAAGAGCTCCTTCTCAACTGCATTGCTGAAGGAGTGTAGCACACTGTCTGCCTCACCTATACCATCCAGTCTTTGGCAATGCCAATGCTAATGCTTTGGTGTTTGATTGGCATGTGACAGTCAAGATACATGATACCTGATGTGTTTACAAGTAAGTGACCATGCATACTCACTGGTTGTATGTCTCTTTCTTGTCGGTATTACTATTTGCTGTCCGTTGCAGGTACACTACAGAGAGGAAACGAGTGGAAGAACGCTGTCGTTGCAGGTTTCACTGGTGCTGCCGTGTCACGTGCGATCGCTGTGTGTCCGTGCAAGAGATTCACACATGTAACTAGCGCTGCAGCTACTGCCAGCCAGCCAGCCAGGGAGGGAGTATTGTACTACTCTGCTGCCGACCAGACTCCCGACTGCCGTCATGCACTACAGTAATTGAGGCCATCCCACAAGAAAGGTCGGAGTGTTCATGCAACGTGCAATGACATGCCTCGAGTTACGGAGTTGCCGTGTTAAGAAATGGATGAGAAGGACAATCCAGGTACAATGAATAATTATAGTACATGTGCGCTAACTTCCAATGCTGCCCTGCAAGATTTTCTTCCACACTGTACCACATGTACATTACAGCCGTTTCCAGTGATTATAGTTATGGATGAGGTCTTCATTCTGATAATTATCAGGTCCTTGAAAATTGAAGGAGACTTGAAGGAGACTGGCCCAAGCAATGGCACCCATTTAGAGAATTGAGTTCATAGCTTCCATCCCCCTTGTCTTGATTGCTGGTTATCCTACGATGCACCGAAGTTGACCGCTTGCTACACAGCACCCTTTTCAGAGTATTTATGTCACGTCTGCAGTCACCTTTGTGAACAATGCCGGTACGGTTTGCATTCCGACTACGTGCATCCGTATGCACGCTCATGTGTATGGACACCGTAGCCCGACCAGGTTTCAGTACACATTTACTGCATTGTCGGAAAGGGCGACCGCCTAACGTGTTTTAATCACAGTAGTTCAGTGTCGACTAGGCAGCTGCCAGTATTGCTGTTTAGTTTACACAGGGGCCGCATTGTGCCAAGAACCACCCAGTTATCTACTTTTGAACATATGATTCAATATGGACATCTAGTGCACGCCGCATAATCAATGCTATACTATAAAAAGCATAACGCATTGCAGCATGCGAATCATGCCGTTGATATCATTATCTTTAAGATCAGTCCTGATTGAAAGCACATGTAGATGTACATGCTTGTGTGATTGTGTTGCATGAACCTTGAATATAACCAGTTTCACTTATAGAATGTGGAACCTCCTTCTCAGGCTAGGAGTTTTTCAAATAGCATGAATCCACTCGTTATCTTTGTAACATCTGAGCAATGTTGGAATTCCAAGACTATGTCAGGGAAAAAAACCCGTTGTTTGATTAAACATGTACTGACTGGCAAACTTACTGACTGGCAGTCTGGGTAGAACGTATGACTGTACTCATTGAATAATATTGCAAGTACCATTTCTGGCACTATTGCTTGCGTGCAATGGCTTTAGTCTCATTTTATGAAAAAGACAACTGCCTAGGCTTGACCTAAATAGTACTGGACGAGGCATCCTTGGCGGACATCTGACAATCACTAAGCATGCGAAGGGCTCCTGTAGATGAAGCTATGATGGCTCAGGTTCTGTACAAGTGCACGCCATTCCTAGCTGTGCTGCCTCCGCCCATTCAATCACACGTATACATACTTTGAAGTAAAGTATCAACTAGATTGCTTTTATCATATATGGAGGGTAAAGTGGAGCTTACGGAGAATCTGTCAAGCCTATCAGAATCACAGCATCCTTGCGCAAAGCCACAAACAATGTCATGGCAGATAATCAAAAAGATAATCAAAATGGCAAATTAAGCCACACTGTGCACCTACCGGTGGGAAATACAGGAGTCAGCGGAGGGAAGGAAAGAAAGATTACAAGGAAAACATGAAAGGGGCGAAATGGGTGAAGGTTAACAGAAGGTTTGTAAGAGGAAATGGTTGTGCTAACGTTAACTAGAACCAGTCCAAGGAGATCAAGAGGTTAAGAACCAGTGTGTTGATGAGAGTGCCAGCTTAATATTATGCTATCTGCATAATAGTACATATGATCAAAGAATTATACTAATATAAGCATAGCTATATTATAATGGCAGAGGGGTCAGTGATTCACATCATGTGTCAGAAAATTTAAAGACATTCGTTCGAAGACCTATAAAGCTAGCAACGGCAACGTAGCCACCTGCACTTTCCACCACATTGCCTGCTGCTAGTACAGAACCCACTACATTTCTTCTTCTTGCATTCCTTGATTGTGAACGGCGGTGAACCAGCGCAGTGATGACTGCTGGGACAATGGGAGTCGTTAGAGCAGTCGCTGCAACGTGCGAGGGTACAATGCGATGAGGCACACTCGCGGCTACGTAGGCATGCTGATCCTGTTTTCTTTCCAGCCTGGCAGCTGTTAGCTACCAGCGGGAGATTCTTGCCATAGCAAAACTGGCCCCGTGGGCAGTCGCCGTCGTTTGAGCAGTCGCCGCATCGCAGACCATGACAATGGCTAGTGGTACATTGACGATCACGACTGCAGACTGCACCATGTGACAGCCTCGACTTGCAGCGATTGGCTTGCAGCAGCGGGACGTTGCGTCCGGAGCAGAACTGGCCAGGACGGCAGTCACCGTCTCTCTCACACTCACCACACCGAAGACCGTGGCATTTTCCAGACTTACATTGTGAGTCCTTGGTGCAGGCTGAGCCATGGTTCTTCCTGGTTCGGCACAGGTTGACGACCAGTGGAAGGTTGTTTGCGTAGCAGTACTCCATGCCAGGACAGTCTGAGTCTACATTACAGTAGCCGCATCGGCCACCATCGCAATGCCCTGATGCGCATTGACGATCACGGCTGCAGAGACTTGCAATGGACAGCTTTCCCTTGCAGCGATTCGCCTTGATCAATGGAAGGTTGCGTCCGGAACAGAATTGGTTTCTGCTACAGTGGCCGTCATTCTCACACTCTCCGCACCGAAGACCGTGGCACCGCTCATTGGCACATTCTGCATCGCGTGTGCACACCGCTGAGTGATTCTTTCCTGCCTTGCAGCGGTTAGCTTGGACTAGCGGTAGGTTGCGACCGGAGCAGTACTGTCGTGAGGGACAATGCGAGTCTCTTTCACACTCACCGCATCGGAGACCGTGGCACCGCTCATTGCCACATTCCGCATCACGTGTACATGCTGCGCCGTGATTTTTCCCCGGTTTGCAGCGATTAGCCTGGAAGAACCCTGCATTGCGACCCGAGCAGTAATGTCCTCTTGGGCAGTCGGAATCTCTCTCGCATTCACCACAGCGAAGACCGTGGCATCTCTCACTTTCACACTCGGCATCTCTTGAGCAGACAGCACCGTGCGCCTTGCCAGCTTTGCAACGATTGGCTTGGACGAGTGGTAGGTTGCGTCCTGAGCAGTACTGTCCCGATGGACAGTGAGAATCTCTTTCACACTCACCGCATCGAAAGCCATGACATCGGTCATTGGCGCATTCTGCATTGCGTGTGCACACCGCTGAGTGATTCTTTCGTGCCTTGCAGCGGTTAGCTTGGACTAGCGGTAGGTTGCGACCGGAGCAGTACTGTTCTGAGGGACAATGCGAGTCTCTTTCACACTCACCGCATCGGAGACCATGGCACCGCTCATTGCCACATTCCGCATCGCGTGTACATGCTGCTCCGTGATCTTTTCCTGCTTTGCAGCGATTTGCCTGGAAGAGTGGAACATTGCGACCTGAGCAGTACTCTCCCGATTGACAGTGTGAATCTCTCTCGCATTCACCGCAGCGAAGACCGTGGCATCTCTCACTTTCACACTCGGCATCTCTTGTGCAGTGAGCACCGACCGGCTTACCATCTCTGCAACGATTGGCTTGGACGACTGGTAGGTTGCGTCCTGAGCAGTACTGTCCCGATGGACAGTGAGAATCAGTCTCGCATTCACCGCATCTGAGGCCGTGGCATCGCTCATTGGCGCACTCGGCATCACGTGCGCACACAGCACCATGGCCTTTGCCCGGCTTGCAGCGATTCACCACCACAAGCGGTAGGTTGCGACCATGACAGTAGTTACCAGCTTCACAGTCCGAGTCTCTGGTGCACTCGCCGCAACGTAGACCATGGCAGTGGCCACTGGCGCATTGACGGTCACGCACACAACCAGCACCAGTGCTAAGAAGTGCTTCGCATCTGTTCGGTTTCCAGAACTTCAATCGGTGTGCGCATTGCTGGCTATCGTTGCAGTGGCTGTCCTTCTTGCACTCCACACAGCGTAGAAACTGGCAGTGTCCGCTGGCACAGTCACGGTTCTCAATGCACGGCTGGCCAACGGGATGTCCCACAGCGTCGCCACAGTCACCACCGGTACAGTAGGCAAACTTTGCTACGTCCACCAGATGCAGTACGTCAGTCTCGGTAGCGATGGTGCGATCACGCCAGTCAGATCGTCGAGCCCCTGCATAGTACTTCATCAGATCAATCTCACCGCTAGCTGGCTGCCTGTCTTCGTTCAGCAGTTTCCCAAACCATGTTGACGTTCCCTTGTGTGTCCAGCTGTGGGAGAATCCCATAGCTGCCCGTAGCACGCTGTGTCCCACTTCATGGGCGCCAGTCTCTGCGAAGATGTCATTCGTTGCACGAGGGTTGCGGGCGTGGTTTTCGTAGTTGTACTTCATTGTCATGGACAATATATCGGAGTTGTGGCTGCGAGTATTACCCACGGCTGGTTGGCTGTCGTAGACCTTGATGACGACGTCTTTGGCATTGAGCGAGAGGAATCGATCCACCAGTTGAACTCTCACTCTGACATTGGTAGTCACCGACTGGCCATTGCATTCATGCGTGATACTGCGTGACCAATACTGCTCCACGCCACGCTTCACCAGACGGCATAGGCGGTTGAGCTCCGTGTCATTCGGTCGCCGGAACAGGCCCTTGCGGCAGTTGAGTCTCATGACGACCTCCATGCAGTTTTCGCGAGCGTACACCGACACCCAGTTGAGATGTGAACGTGAGGATACACTAGAGCGAATGCATCCTAGGCGCTGGCACTGCGTTGAAGGTGGTGCACGTGCGGGTGGGCTGGCAGTCGGAGTTTGCTGAGGTTCAAGCGGCTCCGGCGTCTCCACAGGAATTTCATCTCCGATATCGGTAGGTAGAGCTAGGTCAGGCAGAAGCGGTTCTTCTGTTTCAGACTCGTTGGCTGCCAGTGTTCCCTGCTCTGTAATGACTGGTGAAGGTGTGGCGGGTTCAACTGGTGCTGCCGAGACGATTTGGATGATGTCACCAGTGTTGCCAGGGTTTCCCACTGCCTCAGGGTTGCTCTCTTTGAAGTCCTGGCAGAAGTTGTTTTCAAGGCTGGGTGCAGCGGCTTGTCGACTGGCTCTGACCTGAACCACACCACCATCATTGGCGAATTGAGCGCCTCCATAAGGATCACACACTGTCGAGCACTCTTCTGCGCTCTCGAAGATGTTATCAGTTGTTCTACAGCCGTCCCATCCCGTTCTTAGACACTCTTGGCCGTTGTAATAGAATCCTTCGGATAGCGGCGCGCAGTTTCCGTCCGTGGACGGCGCACCCTGCTGACATTGCTTCATACAGCCCACAGTGCACTCGCCGAGCGTCTCGAAGTAGTTGGCCGATAGCGGCGGACAGATCGAGTCTGTTGGGTATGACTGGCAACTTCCTGTAGTTTCGTTGAAGAAATAACGCGTGGGGAAACTTACCAAGCCCGACTCACCCTGCGGGGTGTCCACAGTATTGCAGGTGGCCGGCCGAGCAAAGCACACTCCATCCTCCGGTGTTGGTACAGTGCAGACGGTCTGGAAAAGATCAGTGTACACTCCCAGATCGCCAGAGAAGTCCTGGCATGATACGAGTGTGGCCGAAGCCACGACTAGAGCTAGAACGGAAGAAGGCCGCATCCTGGCGGCGAAAGAACGACTCCCGACTGGGACGTACCTCGCCTGATGGTCAAAAGGGAAGGCAGCTTCAATAAGCAGATTTCTAAGTGACTCTCTGCTGTCGAAGTTATTCTGATTATAATGTCGCCTGCTCTTCAGCTTTTATAGGTGATTTTGGAGCGCCGATCCGATCGGATGGTCTTGTGAAATTAATTGGCATCAGCGC